CGAGCCGCTGCTCGACGCGATGGGCTGAGCAAAAGCCAAGTCAGTCGTCATTTGCCGAAGCTTCGAAACGCTCACTGAGTTCGACTGTGCTTCAGTCCGGAGTTCGACAGACACCGATGACGAAATCGTAGAAAAATCGTGAAGACGCAAAAGAGGGTCTGAAAGTGTTTGGACATCGATGACTAAAAAGCAACTGAAGTATCAAGAATCAAGAGGGATACCATCAAACACCTGGGTGGCAACCTTGTGCCGTTGACCATGATGACGCTGCTTCTCTGTCTGGCACTCGGTCACCCTGGCACCACCTGCTGAATCCTGCTGAACATGAGCTCAGACCTCGCCTGGCACCACCTGCTGAACCGGAAACACCCAGTGACTCCGGCTTTTGCCGCCTTGACACCTGCCGGCAGATCAGGCGTCGAAAATTGAGGCCAACGCTTTGCACAATCGGAGCTCCGCCGTGGGCTACACGGACTGAAAGCTCCTGCCTGAGCGATCAGAAGCAGCTGGTGTCTAGGGTCATGGCTGCGGCTGAGGTGTGGGTCATGGCGCCCGATGAACAGACTAGACACCGGGGGGACACACACACACAGACTAGACGCCGGGGTCAACCTACTCGGGATCATGTGAAGCCTAGACGTCCAAAGACCATGTTTGGCACCGAAGTTTTCAGGCAATTCCTCGGCTTGGGTGACCAAAGCAAAGACCATGTGTCAATTCATCGACTGGATTCCTAAGGTGATCTGATAGGCCTCTTGCAAACCTCGCAAAAAATTAAGCGATGCGAGGTGTTGAAGATGGGAATGTTGAAGATGAAAAAGCTTTGGATGGAGGCAAAAGACATCGGCAGCTGGTGGGTGGCCACCGGGTCCACTTTGCCAAGGAAGACAGCTGATCGGAGCTTGGCTCTCGCACCAACTCATTTATTGACATACCCTGAGAGTCCGAATTGACTCAAGTGACCCCCTTGGTAGTGGTGGATGCTCACTCCCCAGTGGGAAAGTTCATGAGTCATGAGAAGTTATGGGATAGACATCAAGATGACGAAACACTGGCGAAGAACTATGCCAACCCTTTTGAGGGGTCGTCTTGCACCCATCAGTTTGATGTTTAACCTTCCAGAGTTTAACCGGTATCAGTGAGACCATTGACCATGAAATGCAAGTAATCCATCCAGTAGCCCAAAATCTGCAACCCGAACGAACCCGAAAGCTGCTTCGGCTCGGGTTATGGTTTCGGATGCAAAACGACGGCTCAATTGGAGCTGTTCAGCTTGACTTTTGGAGCTTTTCTGTCATGTCATGTCAGTTGTCCATGCCGAACGGTTGTGCAATTTGGGCATGGATTTCAGAAGGGTCTTTGGAGCATGATCCTTTCTTGCAGAAGTGTCCATCTATGGATTTTGTTGGCGGCCTGGTGGGCCTGGACTGCGGACCGGGCTTGGTGAGGCTTGGTTTTCACAACACCCAGATAGGGATCTCCCTGTATATCTTCTAAGATATCTTCTATCCCAAACCATAACCTGTTGAGGACTGGCATATTGGATGTATTGGACTGATCCATATCAGTCAGGCCAGGAGTGGTCGAAAACGATTCGACCGAATGACCGAGGGGGCCCTTCAATTGGCCAACTGAAGACCTGGTGTTGGAGGTGACTCATCTGGCCATTCAAAACCCGGAAACCTTGGTTGACCTACCAAGAGAGGTTAAGTGACCTTATAGGACCTTACTGGGGTACCGAACTGGGATAGGCTAGTTCGGGTCCTTCAACCTCTGTTGGTACCTCAAAGGTCAAGCTACATGGTGGATTCCAGGCTTTGACCCATCCCCCAACCTCCTGCTTCGCTGTTGAACCCCAAAAAAAGCCGCCCCACGGCCCAACACGGCCCCACCGTCACCAGCCAAAAGCCGAAAACACCGGCGACGAGGCCCACGACCTCATCTGGATGTGTTCTCGCCGCCTCCAAGGTGTTACCGCTTCCGCGCCAAGGCGAAAACCAAGCCAGCGTTCCTCAGGTGCGATCGGATCCGGGTCGAAGGGGAACGAAGTCAAGGGAACGACGTGGGGATCTTCCCCAAACAGGCCAAATCGGGAAAGGTGAAACCTGAGAAGGGGGAGATCTGGAGCTTTGCTTGAGCTGGACTCGAGTCTACCTCTTGATTGATGACATTGAGATCACCGAACCGAACGAAAGCCAGGTGAAACGGCTCCCCGCAGGGTTTTGTGACGTCTTTAGGAGCTGGAGGCAGATGGATCAAGAATGGATGCCGAAAAGGTTTCAAAGGCCAACATTCAATACAAATAAAACAAAATTGTGTCCTTGGAGCAGGTTGCTGATGCAAATGATGCACTAGCAATTCATCTTGCATCTTCTGCATCACTAACCCACCAAAAAAAAAAACAGCCTAGACTCACTTCGTTCGCAGAAAATGACTTCAGCCGTTTGTCTATCGTTGGCTTTGATGACTTCCCCAAGCAGCAGGCCAAGAAAACATGGAAAAACCCGTCTTCCACGATCTGAAGGCAGGAGATCTTCCGATGCGAGGTGAAAGACCACTGGTCAGACCAGTGTCTTTCTTTTTGGATCTTTTTCGGGGGTTGCTTTCTTCACTGTGGGTCAAAACCTGGAGCTTCATGTCGTCTTCATTTGGATGGGTCAAGCGGTGGGTTTTGGGGTCATCAACCCGTTCGAGCCATGCGTTTTCAGAAATCGTGTGATTCTGTCCACGCGCCTGACGTGTTCGGTAACTCTATGTACTCCTCTGGTGTCTTTGAACGTGTTGTGTGTGTGTGTGTGTCTCACACCCCTTTATTTGCCAAAAAGAAGTCGGAGTGGTCTGCTGCCGAAGGTAGGAGGGATGTGGTGGAGGATGGATGTGGTGTGGTCGGTCGTATCAGGTGTGGTCGGTAGCAGGACCATCCTGTGGCCTCCTAGACACCCCTTAGAAAGACACCCAGACAAGACACCCCCGACCGGATGGTCCAAAACCTCGGACCCGGAGGGTGAAAGGGTCAGTGAGGCTCACTGACTTGGAGTCTTTTGGTGTGTCTGGTGTCTTCGGGTCTGCCTTCTCGGAAACTCTGTTCAGCAGATTCTTCCACAAATACTCTCGCAACTGTCTGTCTGGTGCCCGCATGGAACATGCAGACCTCCGCTGCTGCAGAAACCGGGCTCCAGTGCTACTCTCTCCAGTTGCATGGTGAAAGTATCTTCTAATTGCTAATACCCGCCCCAGTGCCCTGCTCCAGTGCAGGCTTCCGCATCCGACTCTACAGGGTATCCTCTAAGGGTTGCTGGGCGCTGTCTGGGCGCTGTCTGGATGATGTGTAGCGTTAGTGGGATAAGAAGATTGATTGAATGCTATTTCCTAGGGCTCCTGTCCCATCTTTTCAGGTGACCGGTGCTATTCGACCCCCCTGGCTCTCACCCACCCCTGGCCCAGCGAACCGAAACGGAGGGGGAGGCCAGGAGCGTTGAGATGGAATGCGACCCCTTCTTCCCAAGTTGATCCGTTTTCGGTGGGTTCCCACAGTCGGTCCGACACCAACTCCTGCCCAGCTGCACCAAGAGTAGGACACCCACCATCGAGGACATCACCGTCATCTGGGCGAGTCGAGGCCAAGAGTCACAGGGGGGCTGAACTTTGTGCACCTGGAGCTTCCCAGTCACCGAGCTTGATCCCAGTCCCATCTCCTCAGGTGACCGGTGGTTAGACCCTCCTGGCACCCACCCCAACCATCTTCGAGACGGAGGTGGTTGGAGCCCAAACGGGTTATGCCCTCTAAGGCTGCGGTTGGATGGGATTCCAGACAGACCACGGGATTCCTCTAAGGTCGCGACTTCGGCATCGATGTCTATCGATGCTCCCAACAAATGAAATATGAAAGTTGGCAGACCTGCATCTGTCCGAACTGACCTGCAACAGTCAGAAAACAAGCAAATCACTATTTTTGAACAAGCCCTGCAACCAGGCCCCATCATCATCCACTGGGCCCTGGTAATAGGATAGACCCAAGGGGATGGATGAGGAAAGAACCCTGGGAAAATACTCTGATAGATCCGTCTACCCACAGGTTGGAGGTCTAACGGTCTAACTATTGAAATACAAACCAGTAACATGTCCACCAACCAAATGTTGACAGCGAACTGCCTTCCGGGGTAATGTTGCAAATCATTCCAACCAAAGAAAATCATGGGATTCTAGTTAGATTCATGCAGTTAGCCCCTACTGGTCGCATGGTCATCCCAGAAATGAAACATCATCTATCATCTACAGGTCTTCAAACCAATCAAAACAAAAACCAACAAAAGTCATGTTGAAACAAACGTTATCGCTTCCAATGTGACCCTCAAGATGACACGAACCGAGCTTCCCGCGCTTGTTTGTTTCACCCTTAAAAAACCCTCCCAGCACTGGCACTGGCACCAGTGTGGCCGCAACGCATCACGCATTCCTCAACCAAGAAATCACCTGCTTCGCCCCAGTCAACCACTACACACACCCGACCGCGCTTCACCTTGATCTCTACCGACCGCGCGCACCTCACATCCCGACCTGCGCACCTCGACCTTCCCTCGTCCCATCCCGCCCTCTCCCGCTCGCGAACGGCCGCGTGACCGCCCGTACGGTGCGGCACCTGCGTCTGCATGGCCTTCATCTGCGGATCGATCGCCGCCGCCGCCGGCGCCGGCGCGGGGGCCGCGGGCGACGCCGGAGTGGGCTCCGGCTCGGCCTGGGCCGAAGCGATGCTTCGCCCGGTCGCGCACGGTGCGACCGAGCGGAGAAGTGGGAAGTGAGTGTCGAAGTCCTGGGATTCGGATGATGGATTTGGAGATGGATTTCGAGATGGGTGTGTGTGTGTGTGTGGATCATTTAAGTCAGATATCCTATATATACCTGGAGCCTTTTTGTGACCCCTGGAGCTTGGAGGATCAACTATGCAAAATATGGTCAAACTTTCTATCAAAACAAAGGTCAGTCAGGCTCTAGGTATTTATCTATTCCAAGTCTTCCCCGGTGTCCATCTCTGTCAGCCGCGTCCCGCACTCCCATCGCCAGCGCCGTCCATTCCTCGCCTCGAGGTTTCCTTCAGCCTCGGGCTCCTTGCCACGTTGCCACTCGGAGTGACGAACTCTGCCCACAGCAACTACTGTCAACAATATTAGTCACATCAGGTGACTGGAAAACTGTTAATCTGCAAGGGGGGGCCCGATGCGACGGGGTCACATCAGGGTCACATCAGGTTCCTGTTTACAAGGTGCTTTAGTGATTGAAAAATGTTTTGGTTTTATACGAAACTATTCCATTTCCTTTGCGGAAGCAGCAGCAGTAGGCATTTACACCAGCAGCACACCAGCAGCAGCAGCAGCTACCACCACCACCACCACAACAGCAACAGCAACAGCAACAGCAACAGCAACAGCAACAGCAGCAGCACACCAGCAGGAGCTAACAAGCAGCAGCAGCAGCAGCAGCAGCTAACAAGCAGCAGCAGCAGCAGCAGTTAGCAAGCAGCAGCAGCAGCAGCAGCAGCAGTTAACAAGCAGCAAACAAGCAGCAAACCAGGAGCAAACCAGGAGCAAGCCAGCAGCAAACCAGCAGCAAACCAGCAGCAAACAAGCAGCAAACAAGCAGCAAACAAGCAGCAAACAAGCAGCAAACCAGCAGCACACCAGCAGCAAGCCAGCAGCAACCCAGCAGCAAACCAGCAGCAGCAAACAAGCAGCAAACAAGCAGCAGCAGCAGCAGCAGCACAAGCAGCACAAGCAGCAGCAGCAGCAGCAAACAAGCAGCAGCAGCAGCAGCAAACAAGCAGCAAACAAGCAGCAGCAGCAGCAGCAGCAAACAAGCAGAAGACAAGCAGCAAACAAGCAGCAGCAGCAGCAGCAGCACACAAGCAGCAAACAAGCAGTAGCAGCAGCAGCAGCCACCACCATCACCACCACAACAACAGCAATAGCAGCAGCCAGGTGTTTCTTCTCAGGTGTGACAATCATGTCACAGTCACCACTGCCCTGCGCCATTGGTGCCGAAGGAAGCAGCAAGGAGCTCTAGCTCACAGATGCTTCAAAACCCCAAACGAAATACAAGCGCAAGCAGCACAAGCAGCACAAGCAGCAGCAGCAGCAGCAGCAGCACAAGCAGCAGCAGACAAGCAGCACACAAGCATGCAAGCTGCACAAGGCAAGCAGCACACAAGCATACAAGCATACAAGCAGCAGGAGGATATGGTGGTTCTAGGCGAGGCCCGGGCGAGGTCCAGGCGAGGTCCAGGCGAGGTCCAAGGCAGTACATCCCAGCCCAAGCACCATGCCAAGCCCAGAAGCACCCAAGCTCCAAAGTGCACATGGCCACATGCCTAAGATCCAAAGTGCACACAGCAGCACCCTGCAGCGGCACCAGCACCCAAGCTCTCAAGCACACACAGCAGCGGCACTCTGCAACGCGCCAGCACCCAAGCTCCCCAGCACACCCTGCGGCACCAGCGCCCAAGCTCGAGCACGCAAACACGCAGCTCTTCCTACACTGGAACAACAGCGGCACCCTTCAGCGGCACCAGCACCCACGCTCGAAAACGCACACACGCAGCTCCTTGAAGTAAGAACCCTAATAGCTCACGCTGTCTGTTGAAAAAACACGATGCAATGATGCAACAAGGTTGTTGAATCTATCACACAAGCAAGCAACGCATGGGCACAGCACATTAACATCAGTTCGTAGAACAAATAGAACAACAACAAACATCCATAGAAAAGCCAATCCCAAGGGCACACCATTTTGATACGCCTTTCCTCCAGTTGATACGACTTAAAGCGAGGTCCCAGTAGCATTGAAAGAAAGGTTAGCTAGATCATTTGCATGTCGCATGTTCTCAAAACAGCATGGAATCATGAAACCGATGCGACTTCCCGAAGACCTTTCGACGCAAGTAACGGCAACATTTAGCGCAAACCGATGCGACTAATCTATCTGAGAGTACTTAGTAGATGTGAAGACTCTCCTCTGGTGTTCGATGCAATTCTAGGGTTCAGCGAAGTGAAGAAGGCAAGACTAGACGCCTCTTCGGTGGTTGAGACCAGCAAGTGACCCGCAAGCTGAGATCACCCGAAATCGATCACCTCAATGTACACCTCTTAGGATCTCATGACACGGTTGACACGGTTGACACGTCCAATTCACCACATCTTCAGGTTGCTCTGTGCAAAACAGAACTCGATCAGTTTACAGGAGTGTCTCCCGAAAACCGTGTGACACCTAGCAGAATGGTTTATTTACATCTCCCTGTGGTTTTTCGAAGGAACCAACCGTCAGCCTACCCTGCAAGTCCAAAGACCCAGTACATGGTCTTTTACCTCCTTAAATATTCGACAAAATCAGGTCTTTGACTTGTAATTAGGGCTACATTAGATGATCCAGGAGTCCAGTATCTGAGGTGAGAGAATGGCCGAGCCGCCTCCTCCAAGTCGGAAGTCCAAGAGCCAAACCACCCTTGAGGGGGAAAAAATGGATGTGTGCTCAAGGTTTCGCGTCGTAGTGGAACCCAACGGGTGTCCAACTCCCAAAAACCGCAAAGGACCTTTGAATAGGATTGAATAGGCAGTATGATTCCCATGAAACCGTGTTCTAGCAAGAGCTTTGCAGGTTTTCTGGCAAAAGTTGATCCAATATCAACAGCCGATGTGTTTCTTTTCAAAAATCTGAGAAGTCCAGTCTGTAAGGTCTTTCAAGCACATGTGCAAAGATCCTGTAGTTTGTCGTGTGTTATGGAGATGGTTTTTGGAGGGAACCCCTCAGACCGGATGAAGGAACCCCTCCTTCCAGTGTTTTCTCCCGGGGGTCACATGAGCTCCATGCTTTGAAGTACCCACAGATCTCAGACCATCTTGACCGCTACATGTTTTTTGTTTGCGCCACTCCACCCAACCTCACATCACATCATAAAAACTCGTCGCCACCAATTCCGGCAGGTTTGCTTCCGGCAGGTTTTGCCTCTCTCCTTGGGGTTCTCAACCAACAATCCTCGCTCGAAGGCGTCTGACACTTCTGCCACTTGCAAATGCCTCAGTCTAGTCAGACCAAACAGATGAGGAGTGCTCCGGTCCATCGATGAGGAGTGCAGGGAGAACAAAATGAGTCTGGAACAGAAGCATCGATGGCTAAACGATGTTAAACGATGTCTAGTCCTGGTGCATGTGTTTTTTCTAGGTCCAAGAAGACCAGGGCTGTGAAACACCAGTGGTCCAAATTCAGAGCCAGTCATACCACTGAGATCTTCAGCTTGATTGATCACCTGCTCTTTGTCCACAGGGTGGAAAAAACATTGGAGTAGTTCAACGGAAACTAGTACAACCGGGGATTTGGAAGACTAGCTTCCTCCATAAACCAGTCGTTTTCAGGTTCCATGTGGGTCTCTTCCAGCGCATAGGATGTTGTCTGGAGGGACAGATCCTGTGACACACCTGGAAATCCAGAAACTCTCGACTCAACTTTCCTGCGCTATTGCATCAGCCATGAAATTGGTTGACCAAAAGTCTACGTGTGCTCTTTTTGCCACTGTGGACAAACTTGATCACTTCACTTTGGGAAAAAAATGGTTTTGCCACGCTTCTTCAACGGTTGTCCATGAAAGTGTCTTGAGAAGAAACATGTCTTGGTGGCAACGTCGCCACAACACCCTTCCACCACTCCAACCACTCCAACTGCCCCAGTGCCCCACCTTTCCTTTCGTTCGCCACCAGACAGGCCTCCAGCCCCGTCCGAGGCGGTCGGCCCTCCTTCCTGCCGCACCTTCCGCGGCGGTCAGCCCGTCCCTGAGTTCGTGGCTTCCGCAGGTGCCGCTTGACGAGCCCAGCCTGCTCCATGCCCTTGGGATCACCGACGCAAAGCAACGACGCCGTGGACCCAGCCGTGGACCCTCCAGGAAGGGTGCCAACCATGAATGTTTCGTCCTGGAGACCTTCTTTTTGGTTTGCTGGCTTGGAAACAACCCTAGCCTAGGAGTCCAAGATGCAAACATGGTTTGACAGGGTGAAAAGAGGTTCCTTTACTTCGGGAAGGAAAATGTAATTTTTGGAGTTATCGATGTTCTGCTCATTTTGGTCAACTCGTGGTACGTGGGAAGATCCCCCAATCAAATGAACAACCCCAGGATGCAGTATGGAGCGTCTATAGAGGTTTTGGCCGGCCAAAACAAGACATTGGTTCTTACCAGGTGTGCGGGCACTGGAGGGGTAAACGTCGTCTGCTCTTGGTCTTTGGCCAACAAGGTAGACTGCAAGGCGCTTCTCCAGACTTGCGTTATGAAGTTCTCACCACCACGAGAAACAACTGAAAATTGGTGCTGCCCTATCACCCTTGGCCAACAAAGGGCACTGTCTAAATCGTTGTGGTAAAAATTCCATCGCACACACCACCTTGATGGTGCATGGCTTAGTGTGATTTTGTTTCGGCAGCAACGTGTGTGTGTGTGTGTTGGCTCGTGAGGCCCGCCACAACTGAACTACAAAAGTTTAAGCCGAATCGGATATGTATAGATATGCAAATGATGCCGTCTGTCTTGGGCGCATCAGCAGCATCAGGAGCACTCACGGCTCATCAGGCAGTGTAAAACAATTTGAGATCCCGACATTTTGGATACACTTGGGCGCATGCTGCCGCCAAGCCTTGGTGGTAGGCTTCGACTCCCTTGCTGTTCCCGCTCATTCGTGGCTCTATTGCGACGTTGTGTCCAGGGCAGCGTGGAACGCACCAAGGGCTCCAACAGAACTTGTCACGCAAGGCTGGTGACGGACCCTCACAAGATTCCCACATAGTCGAATCATCCCAGTCCCAGTCATGGTGATTGCAGGCAAACCGCACTGGGCCAGTGAGACTTCGGCGCAGCATCAACCGGCTGGGATTAATTGTTTCGATCTGGACGATCTGGACAAGAACACATCAATGAAATGAGCACCATATTTCTCCGTCATACTTAGGGGACTCATGTGGACCCCCAAAACGAACCTTGTCCACTGAGCTCTGTTGCCTGTCGTGCGCGTCAAGGTTTCTGGAGCAGCTTGGACAGGCTCAACCCCCTCTTTACTAAATATAATAGATGTAGCCCGAAGGTCATCTTTATGGCGTTGAAGCGATGTCAATGTCTTCTGGAACAGCCCATTTAAGCAAGGGCGCCGTTCGGTCTGCCCTAAAGCAACCCTGTCGTGCTGTTTAGCGCAGCTTTGGAAATACCCACAGACCTTCTCTACCACCCCCCTGTCCCCCCACCTTCTGTGGCATCTGGTAGAACGTGGGATTGGCTGCCAAGGGCGCCGCCCGCGGCAAGCTCGTCGAGCCCATGAGCATCGCGTCTACGCGCGCCGCGCAGTCGCGGCCCTCGGCGATGGCGGTGACCACCAGGGAGGCGCCACGGCGGCAGTCGCCGCAGGCATACAAGTTGCTCCAAGGAGCCTCCTCGGCCTCCCAGGGATTTATATGATAAACAACGTCGAAAATATGTCACCAACCATCATGCTTCATGCTGACGCGTAGCCTACCTTTTCACGGTGGGCTCGTCCCACTAACAACCACACTCATTGCTGCAGTGCTGCGGCGCGTCATGTCATAAAAGTGCTGCTATGGCTTGAATGGAATACCGGAATACCATGTTTCATGATGCCTCTATCCTATATGCGAGATAACTGCACAGTGAGTGTTTCATGCGGTCCATCCTCCGGAACCTCCTCACGAACCTGCTCCGGAACCTCCTCCACAACCTGCTCCACAACCCGCTCCGGAACCTGCTCCGACCTTGCTCCGGAACTTGCTATGGCCGAAGACTCTTAAAGCTTCGCTGTTGAGGAAAAAGATCCAGTGTTGTAAAAACATTCTGGTCGGCGTTTAGAGCTTCTCGGTGCTTAGGCCCTTCAAGGCCCATGTAGTAGATGGAGCCATCAGTTGACATAGATGGACAATCATGGAGAAATAAGCAAAATCGTTCACCAATGGGTTAACTAGCTCAGTGGACCTTCTGCTCCGGCGGGTCAAAACTGGAAAGACGACTACCAGTCAAGATGAAGAGAATGGACCGCCGGTCCGCCTAATGTCGACTCTTGATTAAATTTGGATTGTAAAACCTCTGCACATGGGTGGTTTATCAATCAAGAGTCTAGACAGTCTACATTAGTGATTCGAGAGACCTGAGGAGTCCTGAAAGAAGGTATCTTAGGGTGAACTTTGAGGGTTGAGAAAAACAAGACATGCATGTGCAAGCGTATCGGCACCACACGTCACGTTGGTGGCCCCGCCTGGTACTCGCCATAGGTGGCCTGCTCACGCGCTCCGACAAGTGGGGGAAGCGGCTAAGCGTGGAACTACTCGAGTGCATGCACTCTCGGAGACTCCTCGGTTTCCGGATGCATCAGCGAGATTACATTGAAAAACCATGTTCCTGGAGGATACTATCGTGATGCAAGCGTGGAGACACATGGAAAAACGTCCCATGAGTTCTGAGTCTTCTTCACCTATAACCTTGCGCGTCAGAATGGATCAAAGTGGATCCATGTCTATCCGCCTCCACTGGATATCTCCTGTTTAACATATGTGGGAGCATCCGGCGCTATGTGGGGCTTCTGTGGCGGAGTCTCGAAGATGGTGTCGCTTGGCATCTTCCACTTGCAAAAAACCGGCCTTTCCCAAGTTTTCTTGCTTCCAACCCCAAGCTTCTCACCTGAAGCTTTCGGATTGCCTTCCTTCAAGTCGGAAAGAAAACCTGATTCCAAATCTTTTGAGTTGGGACACCTCCCAGACTCACAAAATATCGTGGGTTGAGAGTAGATGGCAGAGTCCCCAGGTTCGGCAGTTTTTCTCATATATTTCCCCAAGCAGTGCGGTAACACTAGGGGTTCTTACAGTAAGGATTTTAAGGACTGGTGCTCGTCGGGGCGTCCGGCTAATTCGCTGCTATTTCCCGAACATGCATTCACCTCGAGATCTTCGAAGTGCAGAATCTGGTGGGCCGGCACGGGTGCTCTTCGAGACTGCGTTCTTGTTGTGGTGCCGTGCACATTTTCGGGCTTGGTGATCGCTTTACGTGACAGGCACATGAGAAACCTTGAGTTTTGGTGGCCCAAAATTAACTTTTCGCAGGAGATCGGAGTGGCTTTATGACGATCAATGTACAGATTTCGTGGTAGGCACAGTACTTTGGACATGGTGGTCTGATTTCGTGGCAGGTGCAGTGAATCGTGACTTTTGGACATGTGGCTCGCTTTCAGAAATCGGAGGAAGTCTCGAGCGAAAGGCACCGGGCTGCGCGATGTGTCTTGATGTGCAGATTTCGTGGCAGGCGCAGTACTTTGTGGACCTTCAAATGCAGATTTCGTGGTGGGATACACTGTTTGGGGTCTCTTGCCGGGATAATTTCTAAAGAGGTCATGCTACCAAATAAAATCTGTTCTGTTAGCTTTTGGACGACTCCCATATGGACCCCCATCATCCCCCATCTAATGTCAGACATCTTGGGGTGCCAGTGCCAAACCTCTGAAGAAGATCCACTGTACGCACGACCAGACGACCTTCGGGACATGTTCTTCACTCCCCGTGATGGGGACAACCTCTCGGCTGCTTCTGTCGGACGCGGACCCAACCGCAGGACACGGCGGAATCCAAGGGACCGCGCACGGAATCAACGGTGGTTTCATCCCGCCTTGTAGTTGGAGTTTTGATCGCGTGCCAGCTGGTTCTGAGGGTCGACGACCTGGCGGCTGAGTTTCGGCGCGGTCACGCGGTCACGCGGTCGGGTGCGGTTCAGCCGCCAAGTGGTTCTGGGTGCCAGGACTTTTGTGGGGTTGGGAGCTGGGACGAAGGAATCAGTAAGTGCCATCTTTTGAGGTCTCCCAGAATGGTACCTAAGGAAGTAGGGATTTCCAAGAGTTACTTGGGATGAGTGTACCGTGACCATGCGGCCGGCGGCGAGGCCGTGACGTTCACCCATGAAAGACATCCCATCTGTACCAAGAAGACTGTGGAAATGCATGAACTGGAGTGGGTGCAGGTTTCCAAGGCCTGTTCTTAAGGAAACAAAGATCCCCAGGATGGTTCAATCTCTGGGCTTTTCTCTTATCACTCCTCATGCGCGGGGGGGGGTTTCTTCGAGCCACGGTTCCTTCGACACCGGTGTTCGCCGCTCCCGCTCTCAGCGACCGTCCCCAGCTGCCGTCCTGTTAAAGAAGATGTTGAACACCTTCCAGACAGAAAAAAAGGAACTGGACTTCACGTTCAGAACACACTGAGACGATATCAATGTCTTCTTAGAGTCTTCTTTGCCCCCCCCAAAAGAGAAAGAACACCCTCGGTATCCCTCGGTCTCCTCGCGTTTCCGGCCCGGCGGGTCAGCACCACGCTGGTCCCGCTCGCTGGTGCTCTCCACCTTGTCGGGCCCAGTAAAGCCCATGGCCAGCACCACGAGCTCGGCGGGGTAATCGATGACGCCAGACTCCTGGCGCGCGTGGAGACCAACCCGCCGGGCAGACAGAGAGAGAGAGAGAGAGCGTGTGCGGTTCCGGGTAGGGGGGCAGTTTCCCCACGCGGTGAAGGAGGGGGCCAACGCGGGCTTTTGAAGGTGTGATGAAAGTGGGGAAGGCACGTGTTGCTGGTGTTTGTGCTGCTTTTCGGCTTTTGGGGGTAACTTCTGGGAGTGACTGGGTCTCCTACAGAGGTCGGTGGGGGCGGGATTCGTTCAAGGCCCATCCCTCAGGACTTCCGACTCACCCCCCCACAACACACCGCACCAGCACCTCCAACGGTGTCGGTCCTGGTACACCCCAACTAGATCAACCATTATATCGGGTGGATCTTGGGGGTGCCACAGGGAAGAGACAGATGGGCCCCTTAACTCATGGAGAGGTGCCCCAAAAAGGCCGCTCGCTCGCTTTGCGGCTTCGCCCGTCGTCCCCCGTCCGTCGGGGCCGGCGGACTCCGGCGGTCCGCCTTGCCGGAGGGGGTGAGCTTGGAGGCCACCACGGCACCCACCACGCTGGGGTCCTGGAGTGGACGAAGAGACGAGGAAGGTCGCGGGCTCGGTGGGCTCGGTGGGATCAGTTTCGCCAGGTGATCTGTGGCGGGTGCCATGATGGTTTTCAACACTTGAGGATCCGAATCCAACTGATCCAGTTGTCTCAGTAGCTGAATGATTAGGCACTTGAAGCGAATGGTCAGGAAAGAAATGAAGGCTTGGTGTTGTACCCACCGGAAGGGTAAGTCTCCACAACAGGGTGGAGTAGCTCGTTTTACCCTTTGAGGGCGACCAGCAGAGCACCAGGAGGCACACAACTGGTTGCAGCTGGGAGGCGGTCCGGGTCCCTTCAACCGATTGAAAACCAATCGGAAGAAGCGTCTTGGGGCTGTGAAAGCTGCACGGCCCTAGAAAAAGCTCCTTGTAGAAAAAGCTCCAGCACCTCACTGCCAGGTCACCAATTGAGACCTGTTAGGGCCCTTCCCAACCCTCCATTTCGGAGACCTGTTGGAAGGTGCTGGTAGAGCTTCTTGTTCCTAGTACGGCCAGCCCCGTGCCTCAGCGGCCTTGCTTCGTAGCGATGCCAGGAGCCCCCTAGTTCAGAAATTGATCAGGTAGGTTCCAAAGCAACACCAACCCCCATCCGACCGAGCTTTCGCGAGGCTCCTCAGCTCGAAAAGGGAAAAAATGACGGGTTTTCACGGGGAAGGCGGTTTGAACATCTGGATCTTGGCCCCAAAATCGTCTGACGAAAGGACCGGTCGTATTTCACGCCGCTGCACGAGACAGCACGAGACCAGAAATCAAAACACTTTGGGAGGGGGGGAGCATTATCGATGGGAGGATCATCGGAGACGTGTGGCATTACTTCACTTTTACTTGGAACCTACGTAATACGCCTCCACTTCCGCCTAAAAGCCTCCCCCTTCGAAACGCCTCCCCTCCGCCTCCCCATCCGACTCCGTCTTCCTGTGCGAACCAAAAGGGACCTCCGAACCTCTTCGTCCGGCACCGTCCGGCACCGTCCGGCACCGCCTAGCCGGAGCCGGAGCCGCTCCTTGGAGCTGGCCCTGAAGCTCTTCGTCTGCACCAGGTACTCGCGCGGGTCTCGCCCCAAAGCGGCTTGCCCCTCGGAGTGCGCATAGTCCACACGGTAGGTGTCCTGGCGGCACGGACGGTCACACGGACAGTGTAGGGGGGGTGGGGGAACTCATGGATCATTTTGGGTCATTTGCTCATCAGTTCATCCTTTTCATGATGTTCATCAGACATGGAGGCAAAAAGTAAAAGACATATATCCTGCTTCATCGACCGAAAGACGGGCGTGGGAGCCCGTTTTCGGAAATGCCCCCCCCCCCGGTGGAAGAAGGCCCTTATTGGTCGGACGATGTTCTGAAAAAGTGCGAAGGAAAGACGACCTTGAAGGATCGAGTTCGATCCAGGACGTCGACCCGGGGACGTGGTCCGCCGGTCTCAGATCGAGAAAACTGGGGTTGAATCGGTGTCAAGCTCGACCGGACTTAGGAGTCGACCTGAAACACGACTAATACGGGAAGTGGGCCCTTTAAAGCTGGAGAGAAGTCAATTCAACGATATGGTTGAATGCTTTAAAGCCTTTTGGTTTTAGAGGTGCAAGCATCACCATTTCGAAAGCTCATGTCAAAAAGCAACATAGGATTCCCAGGAAGGTGCACAAAAAGACTCATTACAGTAACCCTTCAAGTCCAATTGTCTCCCCGAGAACCCTTCATTTCAGGCCGGTCTGGACACGGCGATGTACCAAACGACCCTCTTCGGCGGGTGCTTGGAATGGGAAGATGGAGTCTGCGTGAAAAGAACTGAACTGGAATCTATATAAAAAAAAGAAAAGAACAAATAACATGGCCGGAACCGGGATTCACCCGCCGGAAACCGAGAAAATGATACCACCACGGAAGAGAGCTTCGCTTGCAGGTCGCCTTGTGATGGGGGTCTGCTAGAGAGTTCGTAAGAGAACATGGATGGTGGGAAGCGCACAGCACGGAGGTCCTTTTGGTTCACCAATATCATGTGTCAGAAGAGAAAAGAAGCTCAATCGGTCCCACCCGCCAATCAGGCCAGATTCAACCACCAGGGTGTTTTTCAGACCCGTCCTCAGGGGGCCCAGTCTATCTTTCAGCCACTTGTTTAAATTCTTGTTCACTTTTTGTAGATTAAGAATGCAGAAATAATTGGATGTAAAATGCATTAATGGCCATGAAAACATTGAAACGAATTATGAGAACACAGGAGTGTCCATCTCTTGTCATAAATGCTGGAGACATACAGGAATGAACGAGAACATTAAATTCATTGGTCTTCAGTCTTCCTCACATTATTCTTCTTTTAGCACACATCGTCGCGTACTTTATTTCGGCTAAAATCTTATGTGAATATATCGTTGGAATCATCTTTGTCATTTGGTGTAAGAACTGTACATCATTCATAATTACAGTTGTTCCTTTGGGTCCCCCACGAATGAAAAAGAGAAAGATCCTATTTCGCATTTCTTGCTTCGACCAGCTTGCGTCCGCAAAAAAACCGGCGCAAGAGCGTGTCCAAGGCGTCCATCGCATCTCCAATGGTTGGATGGCAGGAGAGTGAAAAAGCCAACAGCAGCCCGTGACCAGCAGCCCGTTTTCAGCTCCGCCCGTTACCAGCTCCCGTGCTGTTTCGGAAAAAATGGCTCCCCAGGTTTCATAGGGCTGACATAGGCGACCAAGCTCACAGGAGTTCACAGGAGTGGCTGAAGAGGCCACAGGGTATGAACCACTCATGCTGCCACTGCCAGGTAAACTAAATATATGTCAGCTTCATGTTTCACTTACAAATCCCTACTCCCTTCCAACTAGAAAGTTTCAACTCCCCTTCTCTCCCCCACCACCAGCGCACCGCCCAGCAAGGCCATGGTGTGTGCTTGGATCGGCCTGCAAGACCGAACTACACACCGAACCGGTGGCGAAATGGCTGTGGGTTAGGCTGCCACCTCCCAACCACCTGTCGCACTGGCACACCCTGGTGTCCCACCGCAAGATTGACCCACAAATAGACGACCCATGTCTGGTCACTCTATCTACTAAGTTACTAGGGTGAAAGGGGCTCCACGTTTGGACGACGTCACAGTCAAATGTTTCACTGGGAGAGTGGGGACGATGATCTGGAACAGAAGAACTTGCGTAACTGCGGGGTAAAGACTCGTTGGGGTTTCGGCTACGGATATTGGCAAAGAGAGTAGCTTTCATGAGCAAATCATGCTGCTTTACAGACAGGATAGAAGGGTCCTCTGGAGACAATGGGATGAACCCTCGCCAGGTGGTTTGGATGCTGCTTGCTCAAAGTGTGACTGATCTTTGCTTGTACGACTCTCACTCCAACAAAGTTGAGTCGTGCGCGTTGTCCTCCAACACATCGAGCGAGTGGCCGGAAAACGAGGGAGCCGCCCGCTTTGGGGTGCGTCGCTTGGAACGAGCGCGCGCTGCGGGCCCGTGCATGAGATGGAACCAATTCGGGTGTCCTTTCCCATGAGTGATTTCCAGGTCCGAAACCCCGACAACCCCGAAACCGACCCGAAATTTGCTCTGGTTTCACGCAACAAACCTTCGGCTGCGAAATTTGGTGGCTCAAGGGCCATGCACAGTAGATGCCAAGCACCGCGAAAGTCATCAATCCACACACATGCCTTGTAATTGCTGAGTTGCAGGAAAGTTGAGATTCTCCATCTGGATGTCCGTTTTGGATGGAGACTCTTGGCAAGCATTCTCCTGGGAATTCACTGGAACACTATGTCTCAATAGTGTTACGCCGCCTTTGAGGATGCGCTGAGTGTTCATGCTGCAGGATACGAAAAGCCAAGCCATTAAAAGTGCCCATCTCTTCCAGCTGATCCATTCGTGCAAGCTCCTTCATAGCACTAAACATCTCGTCTTTTGTCAGACCAGCGATGGTCTTCGGAACAATCCCCCTGGATTTCATGATTTGCAACAGTGCCGAATCACTGGTCCCACTGATTCGCCATCGTACTGGAAGGGCAGGGGACCGAAAGGCACTTCTCAATTTGGCCATCAGGTCTGAAGTTGTGTCATTTGGACTGAAAGCAACGCCCAATTTCCTAAGATTACCTTTGTTCACGCTGGAATTGATAAAGACAAATAGCGCCTCATCTGGATCTGCGTTCAAGCTGTCATCGATGTAGCCCAGCCTACGCAGGGCCCGAATCGCAAGGTCCTCCGAGTCGTTTAACATGAAGGGGCCACCTGCTCTGAAAATGGCTGAGGCAAGGCTGCTGCCGTAGGTGTCTCTGTCTTGCACGTTCTTCGCGTTACGCAAATTAGTCATTGGAAGAAAGTACGCCAGCCTGGCAATTTCCAGGTTCCATCTCCACTCAGGTCGCTCATTGATAGCGTTGTGCAAAGCAGCCAGTGCCATTTGGGAAGGAAATACCACCAACCGCCCCAAGCCGTTTGCAAGCCAGATCTTTGGAACTACATGACCCAAGAAAAAGTCACTGAGAGACAGGTTGTTTCTTCCTGTGTGTTGATGGAAAAACTCAAAGCAGTCCTTAGCATGCTGCTCAGCTTGCGCAAAATAGAGTAGCTGGTCGTAGGGCTCGGCCAAGTGGACGCTGCCATTCCCATGAACATCAAGGACTGCACGAACTTTTGTGCAACTTTCCGTTGGGGGTAGCTCAAGGATCCGGATGCCTTCTGCTTCATAAAAACGGACCACAGCCGCCTTCCGGCTGGACATCAGCACCAAGAACTTTGCACGAGACTCTAGTGACTTGATGGTGGCAGCAAAGCCTGAGTCTTCTGTCAATAGCGCTACACAATCAACTTGTGGCCTTCTGGCAAGCTCTCTCATCTCTGAGATCATTGCATCATCATTTGCTTCTTCCAGCTGTTTCTGATGCAATCGTGGCACTGAACAGAACTTGATGTTTAAACCTGGTGTGCTCAGCAATTCCTTCATTGCTTTCTGCTTCTTTCTTCCTGGTTCAGCGAAGACCTGAGTTTCCACCACTTGCGCTGCTTGTTCTTCCAGACATGAAATTGCCTGCTTGATCTTGTCTGGACCAGATGAATCTGCATCCACCAAAAGTCGAACTCGGCTGCCCTTGCGCAGCAGCGGCCTTTTGTCCCGCCCAACGGCCACTGTGCCACCTTCGGCTCGGCGGCCAACATGCCGAGCCGAAGCGCACCCCGCAAGGGCGGCACTCAAAGCTGCCATGAAGTGCACTGCAGACCCAACACCTCCTGGACAAGCCAGTTCTCTGCGACCTCCGGGCGTGGTACCACGTCTGGTACGGCCGACGGGCAGACTGAGGTCGCGAAAGCGACATGGAGCTGGTGAAGCGGTGAGGGCGGGACATCCCATGATCTGTTCGATGAACGCACCGGTCTTAGCTTTTCGGGTTCTTTTGGCCAATGATAGGCCTTTCCACACGACAAGCAATCTCTGTTTCGTTTCCAAAGTAAGGTTCTTTGACCTTCAAACAGGTGCTGCGGAGTGCTGCGGTGTGCTGTTCCGGGGGGGAAGTCGCAAGCAGCTAAGCTTGACAGCCCAGCTGGCACAAGCTTCACAGCGCTCAAATGACTGGATTCGTATGACTTCTCTGGTCCTTGCCCCCAAATTAAACAGCTTCCTGCTCAGCAGTTTTACCAAACATGACATACTTGGATGATCATCCAGCAGTGTATGCATATATACTTTGAAAACCATTTGAGGCGATCCTGGATCAGGAGGACCCGTACTTTCTTCACACACCTTGGAAAAAGTAAGTTTCTAAGTCATAAAAGCATATCAAGTTGTTTCTGGGTTCTTTCGGCGGACTGCCAACCAAAAATAGAAAGACATCTATCTCTCATCCCAAAAGCCTCCCGCTTGACCGCCCCCGCTTGACCGCCACCCTCCCGCTATCTCCCAGTGCTCCGGCCTGCGGGCGCCTCGTCACGGCGGGAGAATTGGAGGACGCTCTTGGCCCCCAAACCTGGGTTCTTCGGAGAAGAACGGCAGGGACATGCAGAGACCGGTCTGCATGGAAGGCAGTCCAGGAGTAGGACCATTCTTCGTGGAGAATCTTAGGGTGCCTCCTTCTTAGTATGGTTGAGACCTCAAGAACGAAGCACGGGCAGTTCTGCATGTGAGTGGGTTTCTTTGACTCTAGGTCGGCAGGGCAAAGAGGGGAAGAATTCTGTAGAATAGTTGCGGAAGATTCTGCACTTCCTCCGTTGATGTTCACTCACACGAGACAGAACAAGCACAAGGATGTTAGCTTTTCAGATACAGGCTCCGATAGGATGACCATGTTCCGAACACCAAACAGGGGATTGTCCACTTCGACAACCAAACAGTGGATTGTCCACGTCCATGATGACTCATGATGATTCCAGGCAGTGCAAAAGGGAAGTTGTGGCTGGATTTCTTTGCGTGATCTCCAGCTTGACATTGAAAGAAGGTACCTTGCATTCATATACATAGGGACTACAAATACCTTCCAGTGCAAAAGACAATTATACATTGGTTTCTGAGTAGATGGCCTGGCACCCCAAGATGTCTGTCATTGATGGGGGGTCGAAACCAAAACCACCAAACTTAGACATTTGTGCCATCTACTCTCAACCCACCATGGAACAAAGAGTGTGCGAGCCTTTCGACACCAAGCTCTCGATGTCCCGATGTCGGATTCAACTGCAACGCCACAAGGAGACGAGCAGAAGCACGAGGAAGACCAAAAGGAGAAACTTTCGGCGGAGAAGGTGGAGGTGGAGGTCAAGGACGTTGAAGGAGGGAAACATGAGGCACTGCCACCTACAACTTCATCATACCTTCCTCCACCTGTTGACCGTGCCGTCCACCCAGATCGTTTAGGCCATGCCACGGATCGCTGTGCCCACGCAATCCACGGCGGTGTCACCACCACCGATGACAATCTCGGCAAGGGGGGGAGCCGTGGCATGAACTGGACCAAGGGAGTGTGCAGCACAAACCAGAGAGGGCGCAGAACGCCGAGAGCCCCCAAAGAGACCCGAACTCTGAGCGGATGTTTCAGCCATTTTGCTTCTTTTTCAAGCGGTCCAAGCGGGAATTCGATTCCATTCGACACCCATTGACCATCAATGACCGATGAACCGTCAGACGTCAGTTCAGACCCGGGCGCGGAAGCCTGAGGGAGAGCTCCGCTTTTTGCTGGAGGTTTGAAAGGGGGACTTCGGACCTACTTGGAGTGGAGGAGCAACACCAGACTTGGAATGGCCCATTCTATCAACTCCAAACGGTGAATTGGTGGACCCGGGCTCCGCGCTCCAGGAGGGCAAAGGCAGAAACCAGAGTTCTGCCGCACCGCCGCACCGAGAGGTCACTTGGTATCGACCCCTTTTTCGTGACCCATCAGTATCGAGTGGTCCATCAGTCCTAGTAGCGTCCGATCGCTCCGTTCGTAGCGATGCCAGGAGCCCCTATAATAGTATAATAGTAGCTTCCTTTGCTCCTAGTAGTAGGGCCAGGAGCCCCGTTCGTAGCGTCCTTGGCTCCTAGTAGCGATGTATTGCTCCCAGCAACCTTACATGTTCCACCTCCTTCCAATCCATGAGACTTGGCCCCGAGCGGAAGCCGTTTTGCTCTACGAAGCCAACTCTGCGACGTGGTCCAGGTGAGTGAGTGGGTAAACACTTTTCACACGTGGATGGATCCGGAATTGATCCCATTCAAAGCCTCATTCCTTCTTCGCAGGACTTCCTTCGCCGAGGAGGACCCAAGGATCAGCGGATCCACCGAATTTGGTCCACCGCAGGCCAAACACGGCTCCGAGAGCGACGGTGTGTGTGAAGAGCTCGGAGCTTGGTATAGCTTGGTATAGCTTGGTTCTTTGAGGGACCTCCCAACCCATGGATTTCTTCGCTTTGGGCCCCTCCCGTCCCCCAGTCGGCCGCCGAATCCAGTCCACCAAGCTGGCGCCACGTCCACCAAGGCGCCACCCGCTTGTCCTGCACGTCCCAGCTGGGCACGTCCGATTTGGGGGCACCCATGGCGGTGTCCAGATTCTTCCTCTGGGTGGCCTAGGACGGCACCCAACGACGCAAACGGTCTCTCGACCCCTGCAAAGGGCGAGATCGGTATCCGGATGGTGACAGTCACAGTCACACCTGAGAGGAAGAAATCCGAAGCATAGCCTGATAAGGTGGAGAATGCCTCATATCAAAAGACCTCTGTGCTTCCAGGTAGTGCTGGATTTCTTCCATCGACCGTCTGTAGATCCAGCTTTGCGACGTCCCCTTAAGAGGAAAAAACTACAACAAAACATGACTAAGATCCAGTGGTTCTTCTCTGAGTCTTGGTCAAAAATGCGATGAATACGAGCAACTTGCGTGTGGATAGAACCACTCTTGGACAACAGCGGCACCTATATGCTATCACCATGTCATTCAAGGACCTTTACTTGCACCGAACTGCTCCCTACCGTTGATGGAAGCATTCTCAAAACAGTAACAAAAACCACCGACGTGCATGTCTAGTGGGGACTTGCTCAGGTGTTCTGGGCCAAAAAAACACATCGCATTGTGGTGAGTTAAAACCTCCTGGCCAAAAGTTCTGAACCCGATGAACCGATAAGAAACCCTTGCGTCTCATTTTCAGCCCTGATCTCAGAGACCATAAATCAGCGACCTAGTGTAGACCCCCCAGCCGGGGGTATCCAGCCGTATCCACTCCACAAGTGACTTCACGTCTCTGTTCCGGTTTTATCGCCCTCTGCAGTGGTTGTCCAAGAATCGTCATCCCCCAACAAAGTGTCCCAGGCTTTTGAACAGCCGTGAAAACCTTGGGTCTTGGGTAGATCCGGATTTGGGTAGATCCGGATGTTTGACAGTGGATGAGGATCCTGACGTCGAGTCTGACTTCCTCAAAAAAGAGTGGAATGCGTTGTGTTTCCCAGGCACTTGCATCAAACTGCAGACTAAGTAGCCACCATTGATTTCCTAGCCGGGTCATCCCGAACAACCCTGGTTTTACTAAGATCCAGCCTCTTGTCATTGTTTTACTGCTCAAACGGAAACGGGGTAGGACAAACTCAGATCCCAGGAGGAGCTGCCAGACCCCCCATGCATCACCTTTCAAGTGGCCGTCAGGAAATCCATGGCCTGCGACTGCGAAAGAACATGTGTCATCCGCGCCACGCGACGGTGGGGACCAGGGCATCTGAAAAAAATTGGGTCACTCAGTGTGGTCCTGGAATCGCATCTTCAGGGTGCCCAAAAACGAAAAAACTCAACTCCACTAACTCCACCAGGACCCTGCTGAAGTGACTGAACCTGCACTATCTCGTTGCTTTGAAAAACGCACACGAGTTCGCACCGGAAATGTGTTGGCCGACACCTCCCCTGGCTTCGTCCACCGCTCGTCCATCGGAGGGGCTCGGACGAACAGGGCGGAACTGGGTGAGTTCTCCTCGGCCTTCACTGACACGGATGGGAGCTCCGGAGCTGGAGACGAGAGAAGACTGGGAACCGAACCGTCCAAAAAAGAGTTGCTCATGGTCAATGAAAAAGACTGTATATACTATATACCGTATAACTGACACGAAATGATGCCAATTGCTAGATACCAATAGATATTCAGTGGTCAAACCTTCACAGACCTCAAACAAGAAATAAAGGTGCAGAAAGAAAATCACCGAAACCAGCAGAACCAACGACACGCCGGCCGCGGCCGGACCCCCCCGACGAATCGGCCGCCTGCACGATGTTCCCCAGGTGCCGTCCGTCGGTCGAGCGCATGTCGCGCCACATGGTGGCGCCCGTGGCCAGAATGACCTGTGGATCTTGGTCCTGACCTGACCTTTCTTTTGAGAGGAAGTTGGACCATATGTTGGGGAGTTGGTCCTCCATAAAACAGGGGTCACAAAAAGGCTCCAGGTATATATACAGTATATATCGCATATATATATATATAGAGACTATCCCATAGGTACCCCGGGTTACGGGTCCTAATTAGTTCAGATCACTTAACCGTTGGTCTGCGCGGAAAAGCTGCACGAGAAGAAGCCAGACCTTTCCAAGAGAAGCCAAGAATTGGGAAAAAGTGGGGCACATTCTCTCGCAATGGCAACCATCTCAAGAGCTCTGTAAGTCGCACGTTCGACTTTCACCACTATTGAAGTTGGCAAAACACATGCAAATCTGGTCCTTGAAACTCGCCAACGGCCGTGGGTCTCCCAGACCTTCGAGGACAACATCTGAAGGCGGACAGAACAGGGCAACAGTTCCACCGCTAGGCACTATTTCAAAGCCTGCCCGAGGGACCGAGGTAGGACCGTCGTGCTTGGTTCATGGTTTGTGCCACCAAGGTCCCACCAGGTGCCACACTGGTCCCTCACTTCCGAATCATCCCACCACCTAAGGTTGCCCCGCCCCTCGCTGGTGACCTCTGGAGACGCTACTGAGTACCCTAAAGCCCCAAAGTCTGGTCCAGTCCCTTCCCTTTTCACCAGGTCGCTGCGTCGTTCTGATTGCAAAGATTGCCTCGGCTCGAAGATGATCCAACGCGTGCGTCGCGCTCGGTTTTCGGTCTCGGCTCCCAGCATGTGCTCCCCGGTCTTAGACCAGGAGCACATGCTGATCTTCCTTCCGTGGATTCATCAAAGGTTTCAGAACTTCGATTTCGGCAAGGACCCGAACCCCCAAAGCCCTCAGAGGATCGGCCCTTGACCCAAGCTGCAGAAAGGTCTTATGTTCCAACCTCAGACCGTCTTGCACCACTCTCAATCCAAAAGGGAAAAGATGGAAAAGAAGCCCACCAATCCGCCCAAAAACTCCAAATGATCCAGGCCCCTTGAACACCAGTTTTGGGGCACCGGTCTTTGACTGCGGGGACCAACGGTTGGAGTGAGAGCAGCGAGTCTCCGCGTTTCTCGTTTTTTTCGAAGAGATCAGGGCCGTGGAATGCTCAGCTGGCCAGAAATTCGACCCGGATTCTCGCGCGCGCGAAAAACCTCCTAGTAGCGTCTTTGCTCCAAGTAGTAAGGCCAGGAGCCCCGTTCGTAGCGTCCTTGCTCCTAGTAGCGATGCCCTTTGCTCCTAGTAGCGTCCTCCTCTGTGTATACACAGAGGAGAATCTCCACCAGAATATTACAGCGGTCCCTAGCATCACAAGGGAAACCACCTACCAACGATGGTATGGAAGTCTACGCAAGTTTGCCGCATTGCTTTTCCTAACAAACTCGAAGCTTGCCTATGAGCTATTCTGCAGAAGAGCTGCGGAACAATGCACTTCCTGTGTTGATGTTCATTCACACAAGACAGAGTACGGCTGTGCCGCAGTTTTTTGGGGCCCATCTTCAAACAGAACCCTGCAACCACGCCAAAATAATACAACGGTTGTATTTGTTGAATCATCCAATGGACCATGGATCACAGTATATAAGAGTGGTCTATCAGGTATCTTTGTCCGTCAAAAGACGAAGAAAGATTTGCCGCGTAGCGACTCGTCCCTTTTTGCGGACCCGGTGCCGAGGGTGACATCTCGTCCCACTTCTGTGTTGCATTTGAAGACAATCCCCTCCTGAGGCAAGGAGATCACATGTTTGGTTTTTGCTCCTACTCAAATCACACTGGTTCCAGAGCAAGCACAGATTTGCGGCCATTGATGCCCCCCTGCCAAGATGTTCCGGAATCTTCAACGCGGGTGTACTATTACTCTGAAACGAAGAAGGACCTGGGGTTTATTATGGATTCCCACAAAAGCAGGTGGCAAGACAAAATCTCTTGCTGGGGGAGTGCTAGCTCGCAGGCGATCCATGTTGTTACTGTTAGTTTTGGCCTCCGTGCTGTTTGGCCTTCAAATAGCACCTTAGAACCTTGTATATAATCAAAGGCAGAACGTGAAGTGCAAAATCCCATACCTCTTGTTGAGTCATCTACCTTTCCTGAGACGTGGCAAGCCTCTTGAAAAAGTCCAGGGCGAAGTTCGCATCAACCCCTCATGCAAATCATGCAAACATGACTTTGTGTGTGGTTCCTTTTTTCAGGGTGTCTGACCTCCCCCCCCCCGGTCACTTCGAGCCAACGCAGCGTACGCCAGCGTACGCCAGCGTACGCCAGCGTCCGCAAGCGTCCGCAAGCGTCCACGCGTCCTGCTGGAGGAGCTTGATTCGCCGCATGACCTTCTCGATCTTATCCAACTTCATGGATGGAATACCATACATCAAGAGACCCCCTGCACGATCTGCCCTGTGGCGCGGAGACCAACACGTTGGCATTTTTTGTCCGGTGACCCGCCCGGTCTGGACCGTCGAGCACGACACCGAATAGTGCTTCTGAGGAGGAGCACGATGTTGGTGGTTTTGATGATGATGTTTTTTTGTCGTAGGATTACTATTACTTATTCTGAATCCATTGTTGTTATTGTATACTATTGTTATTACTACGAAATAGTATGATGGCGCTTGTTTTGGGAGGAAACACCAAGGTATTGTTCCTCCACTTCCGAATGATACACACAAAAACAATATAAACCATCATATATATAAACCCAGATATTGTTCCCACAAAGGTGTCACATGATAAGAAACCACCTGCGGTCTTCTCCCAACATTCCGGATTCCGATCCCTTCCCATTCGACCGGCCTCTCAATGACCTCCACCAGGTGCCCGACGCGGTTCAGCTGCTGCGCCGCCGCCAGGCCAGCCGGGCCGCTGCCGATGATGCACACGCGGCGCCCCGTGCGGCTGCGGGGCGGCTGCGGCTTGATCCAGCCCTGGGAGGCTTCTGCGGTTGGGTTGTCTTCTTCGGTGAAGAGTGGGGGATGGGGAGGTGAAAGAGTGAGTGGAGGTGGTGTTGGTGTTTGGAGGAAGGGTTCGTTGATGCTTTTCGGTCTTTGGCAGGTGCATCGTGGTTCCAAGCTTGGAGTTAGCAAGAAGGTTTGGGAGGGTCATCGAGTCACGGATCATGGTGTTTCATGTGGAAAGGAAGAAGAAAATAAATATCATCATCAAGTCAGAAGTCAGAGCTTGGTAGATGACTGGTAGTCAGAGCTTGGTAGATGTGGTGGCGTCGGACTGGTAGAAGTCAAGTCGATCATGAGTCACGGTTCAATGGCATCCAAGTGGTGCAAGGTAGGTAATTTTACTTATTACATGGAATTCCGGAAAATCCTCCCTCAAACCAAAGGTCTTTCTTCCAGTGATACTCAGTGTCTCATCCATTCCCCTGCCCCTCCACCCTGCACCTCTTTTCGCGTTTGGCCTTTGGCAAACCGGCAAACCCAAGGACCAGCGCAGGTTCCCCCAACCCCATCGCAGCGCAGGTTCCCCGCGGCCCGCTCACCTTGGAGAAGCCGTACTCGATGATGGCAAGCTCTGTAGTCCTCGACCCACCCAGCTGCGAGTGCTCCGCGAACTGGAGGAGCAGTGTTACATCGTGTGTTTCATGCAGACTATGGATTCATAAACTCCACCAATATGGAGATGTAAAGCACTTGTGGTAGGGGGATTGTTAATCAACAGTCTATGTTAGTCCTCTCCCTGCGAAGCGCTGGCTGCTTATCTGACTCTGGCGACACTAGCATGTCGTTTCTGCGCAACTTCTGCCAACACCTGGGTGACCCGCACTTGATGGCCACCGGCTTTTCGTTGATGCCCAAGACACAGGCCTGAAACGGGGCACTGGAGGCGGCACTGAGGCGCAGTTGGAGCGTTCAAGTCTTGGAAGTCTTCCCCTGAGATAGGCACAGCATCACACACACGTTCAACCCGACTGTCGTCCGGCCTCTTCGCAGGGTGCCGGGCAGGTGGTGCCAGTGAACTCCGGGAAGTTGTTCGTATCCTCGGCGCCACGAGGACGACGTGGCCGCCGAAAGAGCAGCTGGACCGTCTGTTGGACCAGATGTGTGGTGATACATGTCCCCGGTCAATGACCTCATGAAATACTTCAGTTGGTCATACAAAAAGACTACTTGAGGAGGCAAGTTTGACCAGGTTTTGCTGGATCGAAGTGGACATGCGTCGTGTAAGATGATGCGTGGGTGCCCCCGTGAAACGAGGCATCTCATTCATAGCCCCGAAAACACAGCGGCGATTCGAGGTGTCCATAAACCACCTACCAACCCTTGCACCAAATCCTGCATCCTTAGCACCACAGCTTTCATGTCATCCAATCCGACCTTAAGGAATCAAAATATGATCGGATCAGCCGGGTAGGTCTCACGATTCTTTCCTTGGACCTGATCTCAGCTACACTCGGATGGCGCCCACCCGATTTTAGGGGGAACATGGTCATCTGAAATCGGGGCACCTGCCATCCACGTCCACCCTGATGATTCCAGAGAGTGCGTACGTAGCTCGCGGGAAAAAAGGGGCCTGACACCACACCTCAACACCACCGAGTGGCCAGCAAACGCTCCAAGGCCCTCTTCCACTCGCCCTGACCAGCTGGGCATGACAGCTGTGAGCCAGGCCAGCTCCAGCTGTCAGAAAAACGACCTGCTTCTAGGGGGAAAATGGTCATCCGAACTCGCTTCAATGATTGTTCCAGGGGGTGTAGAAGAAGCCACAGCACAACGACTCACGGACTGATTGACTGACTGAACACGCTCTGCTTTGACACTAGAATCTCACCAATCCACCGAGGATTTTGAAGACTGGTCAGTCGGTGAGTGAAACAGGAACAGCAACAGCAGTAAGCATTCCTTGCATCAACAGTCCCTTTTTCCCTAGCCTTCAGCTCGACCATTAAAAGAAAGGTTGACCTGGTGTTGTAGGGTAAAAGTCCTTCGTAAAACCCATGGTTCTTTGGGGTCTTGGACCCCATTGCAACCATATGGTTCTTCGTCTTTCCTTGGGTGTTTTACGCTTATTTCTGACCTCCTGAGGTTCCTTTCTGGATCTTCCGGAAACCAACAGAGTGAAGCTATAGACCAGGGTCACACAGAAAAGACAATCAAGTTCGGACGATGGCTTCGCAACGTGGAAGACCCAGAACACGTGGTAGACTCATTGGTCTGCCCAGGACCAGTCCTCCATGCAAAATGTGCATCAATCCTCAAAGTTGAGGGGGTTCCGGGGATTTCCGAGCTTCTATGCTTCCCACAACTTGCTTTTACGGAGGATGCTCAGGCTCATGAGGGCCCAACAGAAGTGTTCGTACTTTTTGGAGATCTACATCCCTAGAACCTGAACCTGAGTGACCTCTATTTTGGAGCACCAACCACCTCAAATGTCTTTTTTCCTATCAAAGCAGGGGTCACTCCTCTGGGCTCTAGCTCTGCATTTCTTCACCTTGAAATCTACTGTTGTATCAATCTGACAGCCGCTTACAGCGCTCGCTGTGTGGTATGGATGCAAACCTACACTGGCGCACACACCCCAGCGCACCTCGTGCACCAGCTGGTTCCAGGTTGGGATACGATTTCCCAAGGGGCAGCCACCGCCGCCCTGGTTGGGGCTGTGACCTTGGCAGATGGCCAAATGGAGGTGCATTGGTTCAACAGGTCCAGAGTGATCCTATTTCAATACACACCCAGCTTGCTGGATTTGTTCAAGAGCCTGTGAGACCTCTCTGCGGCGTGTGAGGCGCTTGTTGTTTCCTTGTGTAATTGATTTCCCTGATGAGACATCCAGCTTCTCACAGGTTCTGAACAATACCACCCACCAGATGAAGGCTAGGCCCTTGAGGGGGATCAACCAGAAAGGGATCCACTTGCTGAAGATCAATCAGAGTACCAAGCACACCTTCGCAGCCACTGAGTTCTACAAAACCCACGAAAGGAGGTTGAGGAAAGCAATGATCAGGTTTGAGGGGAATTCTGTCCCTGTATTTATTGCTGTAAAGGGCGTGGTCCAACCGTGTGATGTGAATCGGAGCATGATGAAGCATGCGCGGCTTTTGCTGGACCATGGAGTTATACATGTGTTGTGACTTGGAGTTGTATTTAGGGTTTGGCATTGTTATCTATGTTGTAGAGATGCCTATGATGCTAGTCATATGGAGAGCATCACTAACATCTCAAGCATCTGCTGGAGCTATGTTGTTGTTTGCCCTTGTTATATGCGTGGCAGATTTCGTGGAATCAGTGATTCATGTGTAAACAATTCAAATGTGAACACTGCAGGATGCTACAAAAAGAACATTTCATGAAACTCATACCCTCCTGTGGACCCTCAAAACCAAGCCAGGTGGAACCAAAGAGTCGAAAATCAGGTCCTCTTCAGAGTCCATCTTGGCAGGAACTGAAAACCCATCTCGCTGACTCGCACTGCTCACCCGCTTGAAATCTTTCGCTCAGACACAGGTGGGAGTGCCACAGTCCATGCATCGGGCCGTCTGCGTCTGCATCCAGTTGTGCCACTGCTGGCCTGTCACATCACGCGGCATCGCGGCATCGCGAGGTCTCCTGATCACTCAAGTGTCTCACGTCCTGGTGATCACTCAGTCTCTCAGGGTGGCAAACACAAAACACGTGGCTTTTAGGAGAACACTGAAGGATAAGGTGCTGGAGTTAGGTGCTGGAGTTCTTGTTGAGATTTAAGATGCAGAAGTTCTGCACATGTTTGCCCCATCACCCGCTCTATCTTCGCTCGGTCTACAGGAGTATGGGTCTACAGGCAGTTGCTTTTGGCACGGTTCGGGCAGAGTCCAGGTATGCAAAGGATGCACTTGGGAAGGTGAGATGTGGAATTTGCCGAATCCTTGAGATTCTGGAGGTACGTGGTGCCTGGATGTCTTTCTATCCTGCCACTGCTACTATTGGAAGTTTAGGGGGTTCTATGATGTAGCCAAAGAGGTAGTTCAGTGAAGCCGTCCAAGGGGTCTCTGGACTCCTGGTCAAACTGGCTTTCTCCGGTGATGAAGAAAGCAACTTGAAGCTTTGAGCCATCTAATGGAGTGCAACAAAGAGGAGACCCATAGAAGCTGGTACAGTAATGGCAGAGAATCATCTTTCCAACCCCGTCCAACCCCTCTAAAACCTGTTGCAGTGTTTCCGCTACACCAAGTCCACTCGAAGCATCACTTCCAAATGGCGATAGAAGAAGTGAAGCAACTGTAAGCAACTGTTCTGAACAAATGCATTGGAAATCAGATCCTTCTCCTATTGCTGATGGCTCTCCTCCCAAGAAACTGGAATCAACCACTGATGTTCAGGGGCGGTCCTCATCTTTCACACCAAGTTCAAGCCATCAAGAAACATCAAGAAATCCAAACCCCGTCGCGAGCTCCGATTGGTTATTGTATTTTTTCAAACTCTCGCTGGCACTACTTGCCCGGGGGGAGGCCCCTTGTAAGTCTTTACTGCCGACCGACGAGCCGACGAGCCGACGAGCCGAGGTCCGTCTTCCGCGCGTCTCGCTTCGCTTTCGAGGCACTCTTGCTGGATTGAGATGCATAGACTTCCTCCCAATCCTCAGAATCAGATCGATGAGGAAACTCCACCAAAAAAAAAGTGTATACCATATATATATATATGTAACATATATATATATATATATTTATATATTAATATATTGTCTGTTCAAGAAACATTTTTTCGGGGACAGACACGCTCTCCAATCATATCTTTGGCTCTAGAGAAGGTGGACCCGCATCCAAAGGCTTGGCCTGCCGGTCATCAGAAGAGACACAAACTGTAGAGACTTCAGAGTGGATTGCACCAAGAAGAGACTTGAAGGGACCCCACCTAGCATGGTCATGCGTGGTTTTCTGGGGGATGTGCCATCCATACTCTTCAGTTGGGGTCTAACCATCGGACCGCCCCGCAGCAGGACCGCTTGGACCGCTTGGGACCGCCCAGGAGGACTTGGCACCGCCCTGTTCGTGTTGGGATTCTACGAAGCACCGCCCTGTTGATGCCAAAAGAGGGGGGCAATCGATGAGTAATCCCTAGGGCTTCGGCCGACCGCTCCGGCCATCGGTTCGGTGGGCCAGGGGTGGGTGAGAGGTCGACTGGGGGGTCGAAGAGCACCGGTCCACCGGCTCGGGGATGGGACGAGACAGGAGCACGAGGGAATTGTCTGTTCCAACTTCGACCTCCGACACTTCCACCAGGTGAGGTATAGTGTCGTGCAAAACTCCCGACAAAAATCGACCCTCTGTGAATCCTTCAAATCAACACGTTTCGAGCGAAAGTCTTCACATCAACTCCACGAGTCTTCAGCTGAACCCTCTGTGACACTCTGTGAAGACGCAGGTGAATCCTCCTTCAACTCCACCCCCAAACTACACACATCTTTCGCGTGCCTTCGTCCCCACCGAGTCCTTTGCCTCGCTGCTTCGCCGTCTCGGTGCGAAACCTCGGTTGCCTCGCCCAGAGTCCATGTGACGATCTTTGTGGTCTCGGTAGGGCATGGCCTTTCGCTCGTACTCATGGAAGCCCTTCTTCTTGTCCGGATTCTGTACCTGAAACCAGCTGGCGACAGGCGACACGAGGAGGTCACACACCTGGAGCAAAAAGAGCAAAAAGAAACGCGGCCACCACGAGGTAACACAGGGAGAAAGGAGGTGGTGCCGACCAGTTGGAGATTTGGAGGAAGAAGTTGGTGGTGCAAAAAGAGAACATGTTCAATGATTGTGTGAAATGACAACAGACAAACATGATCTTGAAACAAAGGTTACTGTCCTGTGTGCTCACAAATACGTATCTCAAAGACCACGAAGAAAAAAGACCTCTTGCTTCCATTGTGATTCTTCAATCCCGTTGATCGCACCACAAGGTTTCACCGGGATCACCAGGACTTGAAAGAACTTCCATTTACCAAAACCCGAACGGTCCAAGGGGGGTCTATAAATAGCCTCGACAAGAGGCAAGAGGTGAGGAACGGGGTGTCCCAAAAGTACGGGGCTTGGAGCGTTCAGCTGGATCTCTCGCTTGGAGCATTAAACGATGTGTCTACGATTTCCTGCTTGGACCCTACCACCGTCTCTTTTCTTCAGCAAGGCACCAAAGCCCAAAAACAACACGACCATCCACTGCAGGGATGAACCTGGGGTAGGCATCCACGTTCCAGTCCAAGTTGCTCGTGTGGGGCGTCCACCAGCCTCCTCCACGTCCATGGTGCCAGATTTCGGCCTCAACGGTTCCTTCGGTGCCGCAGAGGCCTTCTCCTGGGAGGAGGGACTGGATGGAATGTCGAAGTCTATGCTCAACTGGATCTAGACTTGCCAATCAATCTCGCGAGTTGTGGTCCTTCTCCTTCATGGCCAGCAAGGCCTTCTTGTACTCCTTCGGGAAGACCTTCAGCTCGGATCGAAAGAAACGGGTTTCATCGGTTCAATCGATAGAACAACAACAACAACAACAACAACAACAACAACAACAACAACAACAACCCAACACCAAGTTGGTTGTTCCATAGGGCCATGGGGCAGTGTTTCGATCCTGAAAACATGGGAAGTGCCTGAAAACAACGAAAACATCCAGAACTGTGTCTGCTTGAGACTGGTTTTCAGGAAGAAATCAAGACATCTCTCATGGAAGTGTGTTGAGATTCTCCGTCCGAGTCAGAGTCTCCGTGTCCGTGTCCCTTGCTATGTGGTCCTCTTTCATGCGATATATGTAACACATACGCATGGACTCGGCAAAAATTTGGAGGTACCCCCGTACCCCCCAAACAGCTTTCGAAGCAAACCTGTTGTCTTTCGAAGCAAACGGCTTCCCCCCAAAAAAGGACCGCTCTCCCGCTTCTCCGCCTTTGTGAAGCGCTTCAGGGCATCGGGCCACTTCCTTTTCGCCGTGCGGAGTGCCCCAGGACCAAAGCCGCCACCGGTGGGTTTTGGGACCCCCTTCGACCCCCTCACATCTGGTCAAGGCTGTTTATCCCGTGACTGGGCTCCGTTCGGCCCACCTCCGGCAATCGGTTCGATGCCAGGGGTGGGAGGTCGACTGGGGGGTCGAAGACCATCGGTCCACAGGGTCTGGGACGAGACAGGAGCCCTAGTCCGTGGACCGGGGCACCTGGTTCTTCCGTTCGTGCGAAGTCCTGAGGTCAGCTGAGACCGAGATCTGTCGCGCGTCGTGTGGAAGAAGCTGGGTGGTTTGGTCTGATGAATACAGACGAAGCTGGGTGTTGGGTCTGCCAAAACCCTGTAGGTGGTTTGCAATGATCTTGAAGAGCCCTCCAAGTGGAGAATGTGAATCACAATTGTCTAAGACATCTGCTATAAAACACGTTACCCTCAATTGACAGGGCCTGGGTTTTATCAAAGGCCCGAACAAGTCCAATTTTATATTAGGATTATACAGAGCTCTATAGGTATATAGTGTATCTTGATATCTGTCCTGTTGAGGAAATCAAGGTGGTCAGTGGTCACCACAAGAAAAGGCCGATGAGGGCCAATTGGAGGGCCGCTCATCCAGGCTCCGCTTCGAACTCATCCAAGCTTCTTCAACAGCTCTTCCGCCACCTTGCTGCCTGCACATCTAGCATGTGCACGCCCCGAGTTCAAGGGTCTGTAGTGAGGCGACAGGGGATGGTCTTGAGGAAGAGCATCCGGCAAATTCCCTCCGGTGATTCATGGACAGCTTCCGGATTGGCTAAAGGTTGTACGCCCATCATGTAACTTCAGACACGCAAGCCCAAGAAGCGCCCTAAAAAGACACACATTCTGCTTGTTCTGGGGCCTTCTCGCTTCTGGGCCCAGTTGTAGTCCAGAAAGAAAAATCGGACCTAGGTGTCTCGCCTGTGAGCTTGGCATGCTCACTCACGAGGCTCTTCAAGAGCGTCTTGTCCTGGAAACCGATCCAACGGACGCGGGTGGATGTGACCGCAACGGCCGAGTCGGTCAATGGCCGGAACAAAACGAAACGGTTCTCCAAACGGTTCGACTGCAGGGCGGGGCGGTCGATGCGCCCAGACATCATTGGACATTTGTTAGGGGTCTTCAAATCATGTTGCTGTTGGTATCTTCAAGGAGTCACAAAGGGGTGGTGTTTAGTCCCTAAGTGAGTGGATGGCCACCCCTAACCTCCATGGATCGCACCCCGACATGTGACTGTTGGTATCTTGATTGATTTATGTGGCTTATGCCACGTTCCACTGAAACCGAGACCCTTTCCAGATCCGAACAGTTCAGATTCCGGCTCAAGAGGTGTGTTTTTTTGATCCAAAAGACTGCCAGTAAGCTACCTGAACCTACCTTCCACCTGTACACGGTCTTCTCCATGCAGTTTTGCAGAGGATGTGATTGGTGCTTCCCTGCCTTTTGCAAGCTCTGCACCTGACTTGCAACAAAATCAAATCATGACTTCGGTGGACAACCCCATAAAATTGCTGAGGGGCAACAAAACAACCAGCACCAACAGTGTCCAAAACTTTTTGTTTGCTCCAGTGCTTACTGATGTTAAGCCTACAATGCCTACAACCACCCTTATCATCCCAACAATGGACGGGGTGGGTCAAAGAAAGATTGCTGATCAGTTCTTCTCGGGTGGGTTTAGCCGCCCGAATGGTGGGCCCAAGAATTCAGAAACCTCTTCCTGGAGCAGGTGGTTTTTGGACACCCCAAGTCACCTCTACCCTCACTGCCAGGTCACCAACAACAACCTGAGACAGGGGCCCTCCTCAACAACCCTCAACTAACGACCTGGCAGTGAGGGTGCGGCTATAGCAAGCAAACGGGCGATTCTTTTCAACAGTCTTTCTCCCTATGGATGAATCCCTTCCTGATGCCAGCTGGTTTCTATCTCCGGCTTTCCAGCCGGATGTAGTGTTTCTCCGTCTTCACCTCTTAGAAGGTGCAAAAAACCACTGGAACCAACCGCTGTTGGAAGCTCCTGGAGAATCCACTCGTGGGTCAAGGCTTGGTCGGAGGAAGTGCCGACTCAACGGAACCACAAGGAGGGATGAGCAGGATCCCAAATGCGCGATTTGGTGGATTCCGAGGCCACCTCAGAAGTGATGAGTACATGTATATCCCAGGCCAGTATTGACTCGGGCCCGTTCCGGTCAGTCTATCATTTGAACTGAAACCGCTGGTGATGCAAGCCGCGGCCGTGGCCGCGCCAGCCGGCCCCTTCGGTTCCGGACGGACGAGCAGAACCAGCTCAGTCTCCAAAAAGCCACCCGAGGAGACGTGTAAAAAGCAATCCGTCAGGTGCTGGTGTAGGTAGATGTGTCGAAGAGAGATCGCAAAGAAAGGCTTCAGCCCCACCCCCCAATCCTACCAGGTCTTCAGGTCCTAGCATTCACCAAGTCTCACCCGAACCTGATGTCACCTCGTGCGCGGTCAGTCACCTCGGCACTCGCACGCCGGCGTGGGCACGTCGCTTGCGACATCGCTTGCGACGCGAGACGCGAGACGCGTCCTCTTCTTCTTCCATCTTCTCCAGGTGCACGCCCCCGACGTTGCAGAGTTTCCTGTGGCGCCATCGGTGGGTGCTGGATCCGAAGAAGGCTCCGAAGGCCTGGCCTTCTTCGAGGTTTCCATGGAGGGAGTCGGATAAAGGGAGTCAGGTGAGTTGACCACCCCCAAAATAAAGAACCCAAAGGCCATGACCTTCACCTTTTGACCTCTTTTACCTGATCCAATGATCAGTCACGCAACCAAGATTTAGACCTCCTGAGAAGATGCACCGAACCTGAGGAGATGGGACAGGAGCCCTAGGGCATGTTCTTACCCAAGAGTGATCCAAATCACTCGACCACGACCGCGATCATTCTTGTGATCCAAACGTTTTAACGTGCTGAGACGGAGCCTTTGGTCGTTTAGAACACGTCCGTTAAGCTGTGGGTGTTTTCGTTGTTTGTGGTCCAACATCGGTCCTTGAAAGAAACTCTAGTCACTAGTCCTTCAATCTCCCAACGAGTTCGGTCTGGCACTCGACAAGCAAACCCGCCAAAGCTGCGGCGCGACTCCGCCAAGGATCTCTTGCAGGTCCAGGACGAAGGCCACTCCGCCGCTCATGCCTGCGGCGAAGTTCTGTCCCATCTGTCCCAGGACCACCACAGTACCTGCACGACGGGCGCAGGCGGAGGTAGGAGGCCACGCGAGCCAACGAAGGAGCCAACCGGACGGAGTGCAGTGGATGGTTTTGGACGGAGGGGAGGAGCCAAGAGCTCTACATGATGATACAGAGCCATGGTCGAGTCCAAATGGAAGCAGAAAGAGCGCCTACCGGTGGTCAGTGGCCAGTTCCTGCAGAAAAATGGCCACTGTTTTGAGGCATAGAGAATCGGAGTCCAGCAATTGGTTCAAATAGCAATCATTTGTCGAACTCGACCCCTGTGAGCCCCCGCCTGATAGGGGGATACCCCGGCTCCAGCTCGACCCTTCCGAAACGCCAACAGCTCAGCAATCCCTTCAAAAAACTTGTCCCAGTTGATCATCAGAGTGGGGTCATGATTAGTTTCAACCAATCCAGGAGCTTTGTGAAATACTTTCGAAGAAAGTCTCCCTATTTCAATACACGCCCGAGGAATAAAACTTCGATCTTCGAACGTCGCCGCGATGGTGGTCCCAGAAAAACCAAATTCTGGTGGTCGCCACCGGTCCTACATACATCCAACATCCCCCGTGATTGTTCATAGGGGCGTCGATTTTTCATTTTATAAGCTCTGGGGGTTTATAAAATGTGTGGGTTAGGTTTTTTGGTTTATAAAATGAAAAACCAGCTAGTTTATAAAATGACCAGCACAGGTTATGATAGGTTAAGATAGAAATCGGCATCCAGGAAAAAAACATTTATGAAATGCGAATTGCGAATCGGAAATGTCCGAAATATGCCAAATCCGTAGCCTTTATAAAATGAACATTCGTATGTCAAGATCTATTTAAAAATGCCAAAATAACTAACAATTAACAATTAACTAGTTACTTTGTCCGCTCTTTTTCTCTCCCCCTGTCTCTGTGTCTATTCCCTTAACGGGGAGGGACACGGCGCACATCGGTGCACCACGGTGAGGGATGGCACCTCCACGGCGAACCGCGGGGAACCAACCGGTGCGCATCTTCGACGTGAACGGGTCCTTCGCTCGGGTCTCCCTGTGTTGAATTGGACTTGCGGGTTCCAGAGGGGTTCCAGAGTTTATAAAATGATGATTCCTGACCAACCGGTTGGAATATTTTGCATTTTCCACTGGAATCCATTTTATAAACATCAGCTTTGTTTTTTTGTAATCACATGTAATCACTAATTCTTGGAGTACAATCTTTTTTGAAATTTTGCGTGTTTTGCCAGGAGGGGTAGCTGCACAGGCGACTGCTTCTGAGCAGGTTGCCAAGGATGATGCAGGAGACTTGCGTCTTCATAGTTGGTGTTTCCTTGAGGGGTCCACAGGGGTTCCAGAGTTTAGAAAATGAGAGTTCCTGACCATCCGGTTGGGATATTTGTTTTTGCACATGGAATTCATTTTATAAACATCAGCTTTGTTTTCGTAATCAGTAATTCTGGGACATTGTGGCCGTCAACCCACTAGCTGATGGACAAGGTAAATTTAAAAAAACATTGCGTGTTTTGCCAGGAGGGGAAGCTGCGCAGGCGACTGCTGCTGAGCAGGTTCCCAAGGATGATGCAGGAGACTTGCGTCTTCGTAGTTGGTTTTTCCTTGGGGGTTCCAGAGGGGTTCCAGAGTTTATAAAATGATGATTCCCGACCCACAGGTCGGAATATTTCGTTTTTCCGCTGGAGTCCATTTTATAAACAGTGGGTTCAGATTCAGCCGTGGGTTATTCAAAATCTGAAATTTCAGAGCCTGAAAATTCAGAATCTGAATCATTAGCTGATGTATTTTGCATAGCTGTGTATAAGAACACAACATATTTTATCAATAAATAAATACATATATTATATTGATTTGTATGTACGGTTTGTATTGTTGATATGTTAGTTTTGTTCTATGTGCATAATATTGGCTGTCGGTTTGTAAAATGATGTTTTTATGCTTAAATGCAAATAAATCACCCTGAACAGTGTTTTTCATTTTATAGACTTCGTTTTTCTGCTAAAGATGATTGCTTGTTTGGATAGCTCTTGAGATCAGATCTGTTTTTTCCTCCGACAACTCGACAAGTGAATTCTTATAAAATTGATCTGGGATTGTTCTTCCATGGTAGACCGTTAAGTGGTTTGATCTGGGATTTAGGCTTTGATCTGGGATTTAGGCTTTGACTGCATGATCATGGCAAGCTTTTGGGCTAGCAGTTGCTCATTTCCCTGCCCTTCATCAAGTGCTTGGAAATAAATGGAAGCGACTACATCAGAACCCCGCTCGAGCTCATGTTGGGCAACCTCTCGTCCAGTCATGGGCGATGTGAGTGCTAGAACATCCTCCTCCTTCCTAGCAGAAGCAGAGCCAGAAGTACTTTTGCGGACCGCGATCGGCTCCATTCATTGAGGAGGGAATCGAATCGAGTTCGACATGCTTGAGAATGATCATATGTTCCCTCTCGGCAGCCGTCACAACCAGGAGTTTTACCATGAACCGCTATCCGCAGTGTAGTGATTGCTCGGTGGCGTTTCAGTTTTGGGCGCCCCGATGGGGAACTTCCCGCGCCCGGCGCTGGGTAAGCTTCCACTGGTTTGCCCTCCACTTCGCCTTTCTCTTCTCGGATCTGATCTGGGTCCGCAACACTCTCTGCAGGGGTAGTGGGTTCATACTCATCGTCAAGGGGTTCGGGTATAGGCTCTTCAAAGGCTGACGCCTCCGCCTTAATCGCTGGAAATGTCCACCCTCCATTGGGGATAGCAAGAGTGCGGGTAACAAACTCCTTAAAAAACGCCTTTCTCAAATGCATCCAGTGGCCAAACCCCATAATTTCCTTTGAAAAGAAAACCATCTACAAGCTCAGCGCCCAGAAACAAAGCTGGTTCTCCCTTAGGGCCATATGCGTACGGATTGGGATCTTTGTACCACACAAGTGCACCAAAGGGAATCAAGTATGAATCAACCAGGTAACCCATGGCGTTTTCGTATCTGATGGGTTTACACTCTTCGTCACGATCAACTCCCAGGGCCTGAGTAGTTATGTTGTACATCCACTCAAGGTACTTTTGCGCTAAAGGCCAGTATTGATGTTCCAGACCAGAATGCAAGAGCACTCCAGCAGTCATGCCTTTTATTGCGCGAATACTCGATTCCGCCAAGGCATTATGCAGTTTCTGGTATGGTGGGGAAGGCTCACTGGCGAAACCCAAATCCTTCAACGCTTTCAGAATTTCGGGGGCCCTATCGCTAGCTACCTGAACAACGCCGGGGCGTCTTTTCCCACACAATCTTCGAAGCGCCATTTCAACTTCGTACGCTTCTTTGGTTTGGCATGGAACCATCGAGGTCAAACCAGTGAATTGATCAACAATGACAAAGGTGCAACACTCCCCCCGAAACCCGACTTCCCTTCGAACGACGATGTGGTCCACTGAGAGCTTTTCAAGGTAGTGGGTCGGAGCCTCAATCCTACGAGATTCTTGCAACCGAGCATTCATGTGTTCGGCTCTCCGGTGCGGAACCTCATACAATTTAGCCCTTTTACAGGTGTCACAATCTCTGGATTTGGGTAAATGAGTCAACAGGTGATTTGGAGGGATGCCTTCAACTTCCTCATCATGTTGTTCAGGCCCGATTTCCCCCGCCCCTTCGACAGCGTCCGCGTCATGCGCATGGTGATCAACACGCGACGGACGAGCGACATCGGAAACAATGGGAGCTTCATCAACGGGCGCATCAGGTCTACTACCCCCCCCAGCAAATCCAGCAGGAACCGATGGAGATGCTGGCAAGCCATAGGTGCAATCGATAGACAGACGAAAAACAGGGACGTGATGTTCAACACGGTCAGCTTGAGTCACGGGTCCCTCAACAGTGTAGTCAAACTGTGTAGTGGGAGGAATCAACATGGGAAGAGAGCCCCCCGACCAGAGGAAGGAGTATCCCTCAGAACACAACTGACCGATAGATAACGCAAGTGGGCAGTTGGGCAACAAGTACACATTGCTGACTCGGTCAAATTCTTGACTCCAAAAGCCAACGGTCTTAGTACCCGACTTGTGGCCCCCTCCCGCAAGAAACGTGAGAGGTTGCGACGATTGCGTCACAAATTCATCTGGGAGCTCAAAGCCTTGCCTCCGAAAAGCCTCCACCGAGCCCAGGCACTCACCTGCCCCGGTGTCCCCAACGAACTCAAGGCTCAAAGTAGAAGGAGACGTGCGGGATTCTTGGGAGCTCCTGGGCAATCCTTTCAGCGATGGCTACAACACACCTAATCCCGGAGGCAGATGAGGGTTCAGATGTGGGTTGGTGTTGTCCTCTTAAGGTTGCCTCAATCAAAGACTTTGACGACTGGATCTTTTTACCACCCCTTTCCCCTCTGGGCATACACCAGAGCAACCGTGCTTCAAATCGTCGATCGCACGCACGTCAGCAGCGCAAAGTGAGGAGAAGAAAGTGGAGTACCCAAAACGAAACACGGGACCGCGCAATGGCAATAGAGAGAATCGACAGGGATGAGCCTACGGCTGATGACCACAACTTTCGGTGGTTCAGCCCTTTTGGATGACTTCAGCCAAAGATCCATGAGACATCTTGTCTCCAACGACGTGAAACGGCTCCTGGATTCTTCGTGTAGTAGTAGTAGTAGTAGGAGGTAGTAGTAGTAGTAGTAGTAGTAGTGGTAGTAGTAGTAGTAGTTGTAGTAGTAGTAGTAGTAGTAGCGGTAGTAGTGGCTTTTGAAAGTCTGTAACACGGAAGTTGTGCACCCCAAACTTACTTTGACAAATAGAAGATTCATAGATAATGACGCAAATAGACTATATCTACAAATTCAAAGGTTGGAAGTCGAGAGGCTTGCATCTGAATAGGGGTAGGCGTTTCAATTCCCATCTCCTTGATAGCCGTTAAATAGTCAGCAGGAATCTTTGCATGGGTCAAACAATCCACTGGTGATGGGGCTGCAGGTCGATACTTGTACGGACCAATTGTGATGTTGTGCCTCAAGCGCATTTGCGCAACATGGTCCCTCGTCCACGCACGCACTGTAGGATCTCCAACCTTGGCACGCGGTGGGAAACAGGAAAGCGGACAAATACCTGTCATAGTCCACGCGTCAAATTCAAACTCCACATTCACAAACATCCGTTTGAGACCAAACCGTTTGTATGAGAATCCCAGAACACTGAGAAACACCGGACATCCCAACCAACAATTGTTCTCTCTCCTCCCTCCAAACCAGGCTTCGTAAAAGTCCTTCAGAATCTTCAGACAGGGTCTGATGCTTTCATGTCTTCTGGTAGTTCTGGTAGCTCTCATGTCTTCGGCGCAAGCTTGAGCTTCGAAGCAACAAACGTAACCAAAACGGTGACCAAAGAGGGACTCAGCTAGCAAGCTAGCTTTCGCGACAACCACCCGAACAAAGTGCACTCAATCATCAACATACAAGCAACACAAACAAAAGATACAAATGCTCACTCAATCATCAAACCAGTCTCTTCAATCATCTGAATCGTCCCTGTCTTAAGACGTTCTTCATTTACCAGGCCGTCGACAAAGAATCCTCCAATATGTTCCATTGTGCGACCACGGGTAGTCAAGACCTTAGATGTGAGTTCCCAATCCATATAATCGATGACAATAGGTTTATTCCACTCACTCACCAAACAAACTTATACACAAACATCACAAGCGCATCAAAACAATTATCCCGGCAAGAGACCCCAAACAGTGTGCGTGAGGTCTGTAAGCAGAAAGTCTAGAGATCTAGACGCATTGGGATCATGGTGGTGATGAAGTGAAGGTGAGTGTGAGTGAGTGTGAGTGAGTGTGGGTGAGAGGGAGTGTGAGTGTGGGTGCGAGTGGGAGAGTGAGTGCGAGTGTGAGTGAGAGTGAGTGTGGGTGAGAGTGAGAGTGAGAGTGAGTGTGAGTGTGAGTGCAAGTGAGCGTCCCCTCAGTGTGCCCACACTGTTTGGGGAAAAACTCAAAATTGTCATACAATTCATTAGCAACAATTACAAACTCATACAACATAAACCAACACAAAACAAAAAACTACGTCAACATGGACTGGGACGCTTTGCCTCTCTGCTGAGGCCACCGCAACCAATGTTCTGTGAATATCAGGCACTGGTTCTGGTTGCACCAAGTCCAGGGCCCCTGGTTTATCCAACCATTCCAGCTGTATAACCAAATACGCCCACTGATATTGACGCCATCACCTCCTGATCAGGGGAAATCATCAAAAGGACTGATAATACTGATAGATGACTGATAGTTATTTAAACGATGATGATGGCTGATAGCTTTGTTGTCATATATGATAGATGTGTAAAATGGTTAAAAAGCATATATCGAAATTCTCATATGGCCAAGTTTCTCTGTGATTGATCATGAACAAGCGCGCACCACCCGTCCCAGGGATTCGTGCCCTTGTGGAGATAATAGAAGACGCTGACTCTTGTTTTACCAGTCCCAGTATGTTGGTCCATGGCGCAACTTTGTTTGTATCCAATAGAAGACGCTGACTCTCGCGTTGTACATTATCCATGGCGCCAAGGAAAACAACGTCCAACTCTCTCCAAGCCTGACAGCTAGTTGAGCCAGCAAAACCATGACGATGATTTGTGTGAAAATACGAGATAACACTCAATGTGTGTTTGTCGGAATTGGGAAGTAACAAGTAGACTCCTACAAAGCTGCAATCCCTGCATATTAGTAACCCAAGTTCTAGGGTTCCGTGCTCCAGGCGCCCATGAGCAACTCAATATTGCAAACATCATCCAACTAGTTGTGATACCCACCTGCCACCACATACCATGTTACAATGCTTCACCTGCTTTTTTGGTCTCAAATCCTGCACGAGTACCAGCCGTCCATCATCGGAACCGCTGGCGGAGATTGGGTGTTGAGTTGAGATGGTCAATCAGCCGTCACTGTGGCAAAGTCGCTTCTGCTTCTCGACGGCTACACGTTTCTCGTGTCCGTTTCAGAGAGACCACCACTTGACAACAGTACCCCCACCTCACAAGCCATTCGCAAGCTGAGTCACTCACTATCTTTCTCACTGACTCCACACCTGGACGAATTTCCACAACCTCCACACCACCCGCAAAACTCACAACCTCACGCCACCCATCAAACGCCACCCTCACGACCAGGTGACCGGGTACCTCCGTCATATGACTCTTGATGAATCAAACTCCCCAAGCCTGAGGAGCTTCTACAATCCAATTCAATTGGGCTATTCATCGAGAGTCTACCAATTATGACTTCCAAGCCAGGACCTATGTGTGTCTTTTTGTGGCAAGCTGGTTGGTTTTCACCGGATGTCCATGTGTAGACTCTACAAATGGACGACTGTCCCATCTCTCCATCGCAGAACTGCGACTTCGAACTGCCTGCGACCCCCCACGCCGCGGTCGCGCCTCGCGTCATGTACTCGCAGCCGTGGTCGCCCACGCCCTCGCAGACCGCTGTGGCGCCGGAGTTGCGCACGGCGAAGCGCTCCGCGGCGATGCCGCCGAAGAAGGCCTCGGTGGGTTGCGCGGCGCGAACGGTCAAAGCCAACGCACGGTCTTCGTCAAGCCGCGAGGGGGCACGAAGGACCAAAAGCTGCGGAAGAAATGCAGAAAGATCGCAGAATGACTTAGTTTAGAGCTCCCTTCTTTTGATACTCTGTCCCTTTCTTTTTGAAAGTCCTGAGCTATAGGTAAAACACGACACCTCAATCCACCTTCACCTTCCAAGGACAGTACGCCAGTACCCATCAAACCATACAAGTCCAAAAACCAACCTCACCCCCACCTAAACCCCACTCCAAAGCACACAAAGCACAAGAAAAACCATAGAATCTTATATTGACTACTATATACAGTACCTCCTCTACAACCCCAAGGTCCCCCTCTAAAAAACGAAACAAACGTCCCTTTCTCCGCTCCCTCTCGCTACCCGCTCCCCTCTCGACCTCCGCTTGCAGTCGCTCCCCCCCGGTCCCGGTCCCCGCCTTGCCGCTGGTGGCGCCGTAGAGCGCCGCGTTGCCGGCGATGATCGCCTCCTTGGAGTCGTAGTCTGCCTGGCAGTCGAGGGGGCTGGCTCCGTCGAGGGGCTGAGCGGGTGAGCGGGTGGGTGGTGCTTCAAGAGATGGTGGAAGAGAAAAAAGGAAAAGGCTGGACTGACCGAAGTAGGGACATGAAAACCGCCTTCTTCGTTTTTGTGGTGTTCTTCTTTTTTGGATATATGATTATGATGTTTTAGGTCGGGAATGCAAAGGAAGGTCTAAAAAAAGTTGAGCTTTTGCGTCTTCACATTCGGAAGGAAGAAGAAACTGGTCTCTCAAGGAACGAGATGTTTGGTCACAACATGGCCAATGGCCATGGGGTGACGAACACACGAACACGCCTGCTTGGGCTTGTAGACGATGATGGTTCCGCCACTGAGGCCTTTGCCGATGTAGTCGTTGGCGTCGCCTTCCAACTCAAAGGTGATGCCTGGCGCGCGTCGTTGTCGTGCGTCGGTTGTCGAAGGGGTGGTACAGCCCAGACGCTCCACAGAGCCGACTGGTCCCTCAAAACCTAGGGATTGGTTCGACCCCAGACCCCTCCATATGAGGGCCATCAGCGTCTGGGAGGGTGCTTTTTAAGACTTCAAAAGAGCTTCAAGTGGTGAAGCATTCTGTCGAAGGAGATGTGTCTACAGCTTTCAACTGAGCATCTCTCATTCTAATATCTCAGAAACAGATGGGGGCAGGTGTGATTTGGAAGAGAGAAAATGTCAACATCGCTCACTACATGATCACAGACGATTGGAGCTGGGCATGCCATTGGAACTGCAAACATCCTCTCCCACTCTTTTGTGTCAACGAAGAGTGCCTTCCACCCGTGGGCCCCCAAATCGGCCCGAAAACCACTCGCTGCTTTCGGTCGCCTGGGCGAACTCTCGCCGCACGTTCCCCCGAAACCACCCGCTGGCTCCGCTCGTTCCCCCGAAACCTCCCGTGCGGTGCCGGTTTGGCTCGGCCTGGTGCCAAGAAGTTGCCGAAGGATTGTCCTGAGCTGCCCAGGAAGCCAATGTGCAAGGAGCCCTGTCGACAGATGTGGCGGTGTCGGACCGACGACCCGTTCGCGCGCGGCCAGGGCGATGACTCATCCGCAGAGATGCAAGCTCATGTTTGCCATGCTGTTCAGCTCATGGTGTTGAAATCTTCAACCTCATTCAACCTCCTCACCAGCACGCATTTCAGCGCATGTTTTGTAGGGTGGCCTTGAAACTCATATATCTCATATCTTATCAACCCTTTGAGAGCTTCAATTTGTGGACATCGTCGTAAACGAACGCTTCGACACTTTCCCGGACCCCCCGTTGACTGCAGGAAGTCCATCGTCCTAAACGAACGAAGTTCCGATGTTCCGATTCCAGCATCCCATGACTGCAACCCTCGGACACCAATGGTGTCCCAACAAGAAGACCTCTGGGACCCTTACAAAAATGGTTTCTTTGAGGCCACCGAAATACTCCAAGCTTCCAAGCTACCCACCTCTTCTGGAAAACCAGTACACCGTTTCCGGCACTCCAAACAAACTTCTTCCGACCTCGGGGAGCCCTTCAGCACCAAACTTCTTGCTCACCTCGCGCTGGTCACTGCTCGCTGCGGAGAGCAGCGGGGGAAACCGGAGCGGCGGTTTACACGCGAAGCAGCTGATGCGAACCGACAAAGCTTCGTGGATGCTGCAAAACCGGAGTCAACTGAGCAACAAATTGCAAATAGAACCAGTCTAAATGCAGGGGTTCAATGCAGAGTCGGTATGTTGTGTGTTGTCAAGCAATTGCTCCACACAGCTGCATGAGGGCCCTCTTCTGTGTTGAGCTGCAAAGTGTAGGCATATCTATAGGTCCTAGAAACCGCACAAACTCTATCCCTTGAAAAGCCTACCTCAAATCAAATCATCTCAAATCTCACCGTCATGTTTTTGTTCCATCATCCACCGTCGGTTTGACCCACCGAACCACCTTCGGTTTGACCCACCCGCCCCGAACACCGCCCGCCCGAACTCGCGCTCACCTCGAAGCTCAAGATGCCGCCCACGGACCGGTCCACGTTGTTGATCGGCACCGACTTCAGCCGCACCTCACCGAACCGAGGCGGGTGACGTTCGGCGGCTGACGCGGGAAACGGCCCAGCTTACGGCGTTCGTGAACGGGTGGGGCCGGTCTGCCCGGGGGTCGCGGAACGGGGGTCCACTTCCCCGACCTCTCCCGAAGTGGTGCGTAGGACGTAGTGCAGTCTGCGACCCTGCTCTTGGAAGTCCCTTTCGGCGGTCGTACTGCGGTTTCTCGCCGGATTTCCGGCCGAAACAGCAGCTGAAGTGACCACTTCCAATCCGAACACTTAGATGTCTCCCGTCAGGAATTCACAGGTAAGCCCATAGTGGACCACGCCTTCAAGTTCTTGACCCATGCCCCCCATTCACTGGCAACCTTTGAGTTCGCCGTGGCGGTTCGCCTGGTTCTCGCCCCTGGCTTCGGTGAGCGCGTTGGAGCAGCGGCTCACCAGGCTCTGGTCCAAAGCATGCGCCAACTCGTGGTCCTCCCAGGGGGCAGCCGCAGCTGCAAGGTGGAAATTCGTGGAGCGCACGTCTTCGTCTTTCCAAAGGATCCAAAGGCAGAAAGGTGGTGACAAAGGCGCAAGCGAGAAGGTGGTTGGTAGTGGTAGAGCTGGGACAACGTCTGGTGGGAGGGTGGGCAAAATATGGCAGGAGGCAATGGATATATCGTAGCTAGCCGTCCGCCACTGTGACTGTGTCATTTGCTGCATAGCTTTGTCACTTCCCCAAAAACTGACCTATGATGAACCTGTGTGTAAGGACTGTCATCCAAGTAGAGTGATTTGGGGGTTCGTTTGGATCTTTTGGGAGCCTCGCCTTCCAGAAGTTCCCCCGAAAATAGCCCGTCCACACCAAGCATTTCACCGTTCACGGTCCTGGGGCTCGCAGCAGAACATGGGGTTGTCCGCTGAGTTGCCTTGGACTGCGAAAAGAAACACATCAAAAAGACATCAACGGTACCAGCATCCTCCAACAGGTGTCCTCTATATATAGAGGGTTGGGAAGGACCCTAACAGGTCTCAATTGGGGACCTGGCAGTGAGGATGCTGGTACATGTGAAAAGCCTCCTCCCACCCTGAATGATGCTAATGCTTACTCATTGTGTGGACTCAATGAAAAGTTGCCCCACTTGTTGGTACCTGGCCAAACCAAAATTCAGCATACCAGGACCCTCCGTTCGGGGTGTCTATAAACAGCCTCTTACAGAGGTGTCCAAAAGCCGTTGGAAAGTCCTGGTAGACAGTCCATCAAAACCCTAACACCTAAAAACCTTAGGGTTTCAAAGCCCTGGCTTTGGACCTTAGGGTTTCATCCCCCCAAAAAAAATGAAACCTCGCCCCCACCCCGCCACGAAACCCCGCCACTCCGTGCCCAAACCGACAGAACACCCGCCGGCGAGTCGCGAGCCTGGGACGCTGGATACACGCGAAAACACGACCGCGATAGGATAGGGCCGTGAGGCCCATCATGGACTCCATGGTCCAAGCGGGTTTCAGCAAATCGGCGAAATCCTCGAACCAACGGCAGTTCGGAGGGAGGAAGGAGTTGCGGCGCTCGGACCGACGCGACCATCCCTCTGGGTGCCGAACGGACCTTCGGAGGGCTCGCAGGGAGAAGCCAGAATTCTCGGGTGGTGGCTTTTGGTTGGGGGGGAGGGGTGGCGCTGGGTGTGTTTGAAGCCAAAAGGCATGGGAGCTTCCCACGGAGTCCAAATCGATGGGTTTTTGATGTGCAACGCATCTTTCAAGGAGACTCAGTGAGATCATATCTATGACGGACATTTCTGGGCGTATCAAACCCATGTTGGAAGGCCCAGATGAGCTGGTGGAGCAGAGTGTTGAAACCACCCTGTTCTCCCACATGCCTGTGGGTCAAAACCGGACTACCTGGGTTGACCAAAGAAAATGAACAGAATGGACTACTCCAGAATGGACGACTTGTAGGTTCAAGGATCCGGGGCCTTAAGCTGAAGGCCTGTCCGAGCCCAGACATGAGCTCTGTTTTGATAGACAGTTGGATGATATTTGGGGTGGTTGGTGCTCCAAAAGAGAGGTCACTCAGGCCCACTCGGCCCTAGGGGTACATCCAAACCTGCCAAAAGTGTCGGGTCCAACGCTGGTCACAGGGCTTCTTGGGAGCCATCTACAAGCTCAGCCCATGCTGCCCAAACACCAGGTCCGCCGTCTTGGGGTTGTCCTTCAAGTAGCCCTTGGGCCTTGATCACCCAGGCAGCCCCTTGAAGTTGTGGTGTTTCTGGAGTTACCCTACAAGTGCAGTCTGACCCAGTAAAACCTGGTCTTTCACCTCCTGAAGTATGGGTTAGTTTTGTATGACCATCTCCAGTAAAGTCGAACTGACTTGTAGGCTTAGGTGCTTCAGTCGGACTGGACGACACGTCGTGGAATCCCTCCGAGCGAAGGTGGGACCGACACGTCGGTCTCCAAAAGAACGACCCCCAGCAGCCAAATGAACCACCACCATGATGAGATTGATCTATCCACCAGCAGTCACGGGGTGCGATCCATGGAGGTAGTCGGGGTGGCTTAGGGACTAAACACCACCCCGTCATGTGACTCGTGACAGGGAATTTGTCAAATCAATCATGGTGAGAAGAAGCCATCTGGCCTCTGTACTCTTGGTTGAAGGAAGAAATTCAATCCCATACCACCCGGATGATTGAAGGACCTACGCCCATCGGTGGGTCAAACCCACCAAGCATGGTATGAGGCTGCTTGATCACTGGCGCTGTGTTTCACGAACACTCTGAAGCTGGTCCACCTTATTAGCTAGGTCTAGAGTCTAGAGTCTATATGCCCCCCAACCCCACAACCACATTTGGATGTAGAATCCCATCCCATACGAAGACCAAAACGAACCAAAAGAGCCATCTGCTTGGCATCTACAGGGATGTCCATCTCCTACTCTCCCACACTAGCTTCTCCCACACTAGCTCGCACCAGCTCCCCCAGCTCTCCACCCTCTCCCGAGCCCGACCCGAAAAAACCTGCCATGCAGACCCAACGACCAGCGGCCAACGCCCTGGAACCGAATGCACACCCCTCGACCCCCCACTCCGCAGGAGGTGACCACTCGAGACTCGTGGGCCTTAAGAGGTCAGTGCGGCCAATGAGATCGTTGAACTTCTTGATGCCCAGGGAGGCCATGATCTCGCGCGCTTCCTCATCATGGCCGTTGCGGGCGAGGCGAGGCGACCGTTGCACGGGCGAAAGGGTCTGGTGCCGAGCGACCTTCGTGTGCCGTGGCCGACGAAGCGGATCCTATGTTGGTTGGGTCTCGTGACGAGAGCGCCTGGTCGTCGCGAAACCCAACAGGGCTCTCAGGCTCTCAGGCTCTCAGGCTTAGCTCCGGGGGAAGAGGGGCGCCAAAGGCGCCGCTTTCAACCCAGTCCCGCAACGCACTCTTCCGCCCAATTCCTTCATCCTCCTATAGTGAGCTGTATAGCATGTATGTGTGTTTGTGCCCCCTGAGGCGAAACCAATTGCATGCGCATGCTTATGTTTAAGTTGCAGAAGTCCACCTGGCTTTCTCCTGCTTTTCACTTCAGTTCCGGTATCCCAAACCCACCAAAGCGCAACTCCCATGCAGTGAACCCTCCCAAAAAATGTGCAAGAGCCCCAACCTCTCCAGGTTCCCCCCATCTCTCTCCCCCCTCCAGTGCCGAGACCGAAACAAAAAAAAAAGGCACTCTCGCTCCAGTCGGGTTCCTCGCTCCACAACCCATGGACGCCGGGTCCTCATATTCCTCGCTTGGACGGTCCTCCGGTCCTTTCGACCGTTCCGATTCCACCGAACTCCGTCCTCGGCCACCATGAAGAGGAAGTTGATCAAATGCTCCGGCTGTCCCGTGAACTTGGCACGCAGCTCCGGGTCCTGCGGAGGCGGCTGACTTCGGAGAAGTCACGGCACCGGAGGAGGGAGCGGAACCGGAGGAGTGTCGGAGTGGAGTGTGGGAGGAGTGGAGCACACATCATGGAAGTTCAACCATGGATGGGTGTGTAACAGGGAGATCCCCCAAACCAGTAGGTGTTGGTCTCTGTTCCTTCTTCCAGGGGGTCGAATAGGGGTTGGTCTCCCTATTTGAATACACACTCATTTCAACCCCCTCTATGTGAAGAGGTGGCTCATGTCGTGTGGTTGTGTAGTAAAGATGTACTGCAACCAGTCCTTCTGTTAATGGAGAAGACCAAGTTCAGCCCCATATCACATTGAATTTAGAGCGTGGGAGGTCCTCCAACTATGAGATGCTTTTTTGGAGCTCCATTCCTTCAACTTACCATAGCCTTCGCCCTTCGCACGATCCTTGCTATGGAAAGCAAGTGATCAGCCTGCAGGAGAAGCACAAAGCCTCCAAATATTCAAAATCCCCGACTGAATAGAGCTTCAGTGTGTTGACTGTAGACAAAAAAAGACACCAATTCAAGTTAGCATCATTCAATCATCCCAAATAATACGGGCACTTGATCGGCCAAACAGTTACTGGAGTTTACCCAAGCAACACTTCAAGAGCACAACAATCACCTCCCCTCTGCCCGGGCGGACCTGTGTGGCGACACCCACCGGGCAAGTGTTCAAGTGGCACTTACCTCACCATCAGTGGCCACAGGGACGACCCAAATCCATTGCCCATTGATGGCCGGCAGCATTCGAGTGACCTTCGACAGCATCTGTGGGAAAAAGGATCCACCAAGATGTCATGTACTCCCCATAATGAGGATAACCTGACCTTTCTCTGAGGGAGGCCTCCCTCTCTTTTACTCTTTTACAGCTAGAGGTACTTCAGTTGAGCAGACTAAATCAGTTGCTGGCAACAGAACATTCCAAGCTTTAAACCCCTCGTTCACTTCGGAAGGGGGCCACATCTTCCTCATGTTGTCCTATTTTGTCCAATCCCGCAGCCCATCCAGGGGTGACCGCGTGCGCCGTGCGTGCGCCGGGCCACGCATCATGATGCAGCCCAGCGTGATCAGTGGTGCGGTGGTCATCGCAATCTCCTGTTCGCGGAGCGTCGTGACCCGAGGTTCGTTTCTGCACCAGCACTCAACGAAGCCCACAACATGGAAAATTCATGCCATTCGGGTCCTTCAGCAAGAATCGTCTCAGCCCAGCCGAATGTTTCACCCTACGAGATGTTCAGAACTTGCAGGCCGTCATGTTCCATCCGTGGCATCCGAGTCACTACACTCTGACGAACACATCACATGGAAGTGGATGGCATGGCCTCTTGGAAGACTACTTTCCTCTACAAACAGTGGGTTTTCCACTTCCATGTGATGTGTTGGTCGGAGTGTAGTGACTCTTGGGCTGCTTGAGGATGAGACTTTGGCACTTTGCTCCGCCAAAGTGACCTTGGGCCGCCCTACATCCGCCCAGTCCTGCTTTTTGGCACGACCTGGCGAGCCAAAACCTGCTCTTTGGCAGGGATGGCTCTCTGCTCTTCCGGCTCCGGTAAGTTCTTCCAGGTGTTTCTGAACAGAACGAAAATGAGACTGATGCACACCACTCGTCCTGCAACCCCAGACAAGTTCAACAGGCCATGCAAAACAACGGATGGCCCCAGCACGGTGCACAGCATGCTGAGAGTCAGGCGAGGATATTTGGACGGTTCGGAGGCAAACTTGGCAAAGCGGCCAGCCACTATGCCACTCAAGTACGGGTGCGGATTCAAGAAAATCCGGAAGCAAATGTTCTGCAGCAAGCAGCAACCTGGCATACTCGTCACCGTAGCGACGTTCCCCAAGTATCCAAAGTTCTCGTGCACCATGAAGCCAACCCCAACACTGAAACCAGCCAACATGAGACCTCGTGGGCTCTCTGGCCACAGCTTGGCTGTGGACCTGCGCCGCGCCCTCCGCCAGGGCCGGAAGCCAGACCAAGAAAGCCAAATGAGTGCCACGAGCTTACCGGCCTCCTCCACTGCACCAATGGAGCTGGTAGAAACCAAGAAGTCTGCCAGCAAGGGCCAGAGTAGGAGAAGGCCTGGTAACACCAGTCCACAAATGAGAGATGACCACAGGACGCCGAGAGTGGCACCTCGCAAGGCAAAATGTGCCATCTTGCCTCGTTCCACTTGCACTGAGCCCTTCATCCACCCCATCAATTGTAGGAGTCCAGAAAGCGCTGACCAGAGCACTAGATCGGTGCTTCCCTCCAGAAAGAGCACTATCACGATGGCCCACCACACAAAAAGGTTCCAAGACCAGCCTGCCTTCTTCGCAGCCGGGGCATTCGGAGGCGCAGCATTCAGCTCCGCACGCAGCTCCGCACGCGTCGCACGGTTCTCTCGAAGTGACGGTCGGCGGCCCAGTGACGGTCGCAGTGCGCCCTCTCTGTACGTCTGTGGCACGCCTGCAAAAGCAGCGCCGGCATGGACACCAGTCCAGCTGGGCGCTCTGTCACGTCTCTGGTCAACGACACATGCACTCACATAAGCCAGTACCCAACACAAAGCTGACCATTGTCCCATGGCAACCTGCAGTGGAGCACTAAAACGAGCCACACAGCTCTTCTGCGCAGCGCTGGGGAGCCCTTGAGTGTAATGGCTGAAGTTGGGTTTCACTGGGGATTTTGCAGAATCAGTGGAATGGCGGAAGGGTTTCGGTTGGTTCGATGATAGTTTTTGCAAGGCCTCCAAGCCAGTTCAAGTCTGCTTAGGCCCCAGGAGGATCGAGGATCATTGAAGATGCAGGCTCCGGAAACAGTGAACTACGCTGGAACCTCTTGTTTGGACCACGAGATATTGGTCGGGTCGTACATGTCTGAGCAAGCTTGTCCACATGCAACAAGTATTCAGACTCCATGCTGAGCTATGCTGGGCCGATTCAGCTCCATGCAGAATGAGCCAAAGAAGTGGCCAGAGGTGGGGACAAGGAATGCACCAGGAGTTCCACTCCGGGGGTGCGCCCGCGCAATGAACGCGCGGGTTGGTGGAGACATTTATTGGAGTGCTTTTTCTCGAGTCCGTTCCACCCAGAACGGACTCGTATGCAGTGGATGGAGCGCATGGAACCCTCTGAACGGAACATCCAAATGATTGTTTGATTATCTTGGTCGAACTTCGTGGATCCTTGAGTCGCAGACTTGATGGAAAAGAAAAATAACATGTGTCTGTTGCCATGTAGCAAGACACTTCCCCCAAAACAAGCCAGGACCGCCCTGGCTTGCTGCAGGGTCTTGGTCTTTCACATCGGTGATCTCACCAAGCACCAAGCACCCACCCGCCCTCCACTCATGCAGATGTTGATTCAGCAAAACACACACCGTCCCATGGATTGTAAAACCTCTTCACATGGACCGTTTGGTTTTATAAGTCTATATACATGACTCGACCGAAATACTCCAGACTGGAATATCTGCAGTGCCGAAAAAAAGAAGAGAAACACCCCCAAACTGAGCTTGATATCCTCACCCTGCACTTCGAAACCACATGGAACCCCAGACCCAACTGGCTTGCTGCTCAGGTTCCGCCCTGACCGCCCTGACCGGTGCTCAGCATCCACCGCACCGCTCCGCCCTGACCGCCCCTCCTCGGCTCCCAGCATGGCGGCGATCACCACGTCGCGGCCCGTGCGCACTTGCCCGTCCGTCTGCAAGGTCACGCGGTTCCTGTTCACCGGTGAGTCCACGCGGTGGGAGGACTTCACCGGTCTCTTAACAAGCAGCTCCAACCAATGGTGGTCATGGTGGTCAAGCATGGTGAAAAGCCCGTCTGAATCCCAAAGAACCATGGTTTTACCATGGAATTGACACAACAACACCAGGTGTCCGGAAGATCATGGCTTCTGTTTTGGACCACGCTTTCCACCCAAGGTCAGTCAGGTCCAACATCCGATCAAAAGAGGGGTCATTCACCTGGGCTCTAGGTGAATGAATCCCAAACAACCATGGTTCTATTAAGAAATGTTTACACTGGAAATCCAGGTCAACCCTATTTTGGTCGAACGGAAGGCCGGGGCACCGCAGGGCACCGCAGGGCACCGCAGGGCACCGCAGGGCACC